ATATATATATACACATATATATAAAATATATACAGGCTTTTATGTGTATATGTACTTATATAAAGATAGATATGAATATTTCAGAGTAATACAGAAAATGCAGTCTCACAAAAACAGAGTCTGAGCAGGGAGACGAGATATTTTTAATGAAAATCTTCTCTTTTTCTCTTTTAAGATGAACTCACCGAAGAACTTGGTAAGTCTTTTCCTTCCTTTACCAACAGCAAATACCAAACACTTATCTTCCTCTTTGAGCTTTGTCAGAAGGGAATCCCAATAAATGCATGAAGCAAACATCAGCGAAGTTTAATACTGATGAAGTCGAATTTTTGCAACTTTATCACAAGTAGCATGTTGGCACATCTCCAGCTGGCATTACGTGCAATATATAGGAATTTCTCTCTAGTCTTATTTTTTTTCACTTATTTTTGGAGGGGTTTAGTTGGAGAATATGACAGAAGAACCAAGAAGCACCACTGAGCTTCTTCTGATAAACGAATATCCAACAGATTCCAGCCCCCTAATTATCTTCCTGTGATGGAATCTAATTCTCTTCCTATAATTTTAAGATTTTAATTTTAATTCTAAAATAAGAGGGTTTGATATTTTATCTTTGAAAGGTTTGGGATGGGAATCTTTGTACACATCTCCACAATGTAATGTGATAACTGCAAAAAAGGGGAAGATATTTGGGACATCTAATCGAAGAGGTAAAAAAAAAAAAATAGAGAAAGAGATAATATCTGTGAAATAAACCTGTCTTAATAGCAACCTGTGGTTTTTCTTTCCCTCAAGATGAAATCACTGAAGAACTTGGTAGGTGATTCCTTTTTTTTTTTTTTTTTAACCTTTAACAAAAACTAATGGTGAGAATTTTCTGAAGCTTTTCTGAGCTTTTTTTGTTGCTTTAATGTAACGAGAAATGTGGCTTAAATGGAGGGAGATGAGAGTCAACAGAAAATGGAATTTCAAATAATAACCAATAAGAAAAAGGTGTTTGGGGAAAAAAGCTATCTCTGTTTTAACATCAACTGATGCTTTAAAATTATTTTTTCTTCCCAATTTCTTGTTCTTAGGGGAACGTGATAAAAAAATAGGTGGGTAATGTTCTCATTTCCTGGGTCCTTTGGGTACTCTGGATGGGGTCATAGAGGGATAACACAGCTTCTTCCACCCCTAAAAACCCAATTCCTGCAGTGTTCCCCTACCCTTGTTTGAGTATGAGGAGCGTTCATGAGATTTCTGTTGAGATCTCATGTTCTTCCAGCCCTCCTGAGGTTCACTTTGGGGTTATTTCACTTTTTCTGTGTCAAATTAAAGATTTTTTTTAATATCAGATCCTAATGATATCATTTCTTTCTTTCCTTTAAGAGGAACTCACTGAAGAGCTTGGTAAGTCATTTCTTTTTACCTTCTCCCTTTATTTTCTTTCCCTTTCTCTCTCTTTTTATTTTTTTCTCTCTCTCTTTTTTTTTTTAATGTTCTTCTCTCTGCTAATCTATTACATTGTTCTGAGTTTTACATTTTCTCTCATATCTCAGTTTAGAAAAATAAAAACTGCATTGCAGTGCAGCACTGCAGGAGAAATTTTCCAGCTGCAATTTGCAAAACCATGAAACAAAGGGTGGGTGCTTCTAACATTTAGTTTTCCTTTCTGTTCTTTTTCAGCCAAGCAGACTGCCCAGATTGGTAAGAATTTGTTCTCTCTAGTACGAAACGAAAGCACGTGCAGGTTCAAGTTTTGCTCTGAATCTTGCACTTTTCCTTTAATATGACCATTCATATCCTAAGTTGCTACTTTCTTGCATCTCTTCATTCTCCCTGCACAACCCAAACGCCAATCTGTAGGATTTTTTTTGAAAATAAAGACTTTGGAAAATAAAGGGGTTGATTTGAGGATCTTTTATTGAGGGCTTTCTTTAATTCCATGGTATTTAAATTCACCAAGAGCAATTAACATTTAACATCACTAAATTTGTTTTTAGAAGAGAAATGTAGAATCCTTCACAATTCTTTTAGTTCATGAATTAAATTATGAATTAAATTCATAATTTAAGCCCATTTTCCTTTTTCTCTTTCTAGGTGAACTCACTACAGAGCTGGGTAAGTCCTTTTGGCAAAATCAAATAAAGTGTTTTTTCCTGAAAATACCTTGTTTATATTTGAACTAACTGTGACCTTTTCTTTAAGATTAGTAAAGTAAATTAGGGGATGGGTTAATCTACATAAAATCTGAGACAACATTACAATTTATAATTCTTTGTACAGAATAGAAAAATATCAGGTTTATCACCAGATGATAAATGCACACAAAGTAGGGAGGAGTATTTAGAAATAATTATATTGTTTTTCCTTTCTTTTATACTTTTTTCCTTTTTTTTAGGAGAACGTGATGCCAAAATCGGTATGTGGCCATCTCCTTCCTCTGCAAAATGCAACTCTGAGGTGCATTTGCAGGCTCTTCAAAAGGCTGATGATGTCATTTATGATTATGTGGGTTAGAATTTGGTGGGTTTAGGATTTGGCTTATGATAAAGTTGGGGAGGATTAAGGTGCACAGGCATCTGGCCCCCATCTCATGGGTGTCCTTCCCATGGGTATTCAGTCTCCTGTCCTTGTCTTGGATACTCAAGAATATCTAAAATCCAGCATATTCCATTAAAAATAACTCATCCATTAAGTATATATCCACAGAATACAAGAGAATACTCTACTTTTATTTTAGATTCCATGTTTAGGTTAACCATGGAAAAAAATCCAATTTCTTGGGTGTGAATCCTCTAATTCAGCATGAAATCATGACTTCTACTGTAGTTATAAGAAAAATGAAATAGCATTTTGTTTTGTTTTTTCCTTTTAAGATGAACTGTCTGCAGAAATGGGTGAGTATTTTTCCCTGCCTTCTAGCAAAACAAACACACGGTGTTTATGGTCTGGTTTGTTGTGTGTTTTTTTTTTTTTTTTCAGTTGCAGATTCTGTGTGAGTGGGAAAACAGAACAAATCTGACTTTTGTTTTTCTTGTTTTCCTTTCTTTAGAAAAACGCGATAGGAAAATTGGTAAGTATCAAACTTCTTCCTCAGAAGTGAACTTTGTATGTTAGTCAGATCTGTACGATCACCCTGATGGAAATTCTGTTTTTTTTCCTCTTTTCAGACGAACTCACTGCAGAGCTTGGTAAGTCACTTCATTTCACTGCAGTAACACAAATACACATGTCTGTGTTGGTTTCCTGTGTTGTTTTTTTTTCCTTCTTATGCTTTTTCCTGAGCTACTTTGGGGAGTTTTCTGGAAACTTGAGCTATTAATGGGAATAAGGCAGAAAGATGCATACATTGAGTTATATTAATCAAGCAAAATAATAATCACTAGGCAGAGAAATTTATTTTTGCTTTGAGAGCCAAGTCAGTCATAAAGTTACAACACAGGGAGGAAGAGAAATGTGCAATAACCATTTCTATCATTTTTTCTTTTCAGAGGAATACAAAGCAAAAATGAGTGAGTGTCCCCTTCCTCATCTTCGGGAGATGTAAAGTATGTGAGATTTTGGGCTTTTTTGGAATAGGAGGACTGTGAGATTTACTCTTAAACAAATATGAGATGAGAAGACAGAATTTATTAGCCTGAATTCACAAACTGATTTGGAGAAGCATCAGCAGGTTGTTTTTCTTCATAGAGATGAAATTTCAGAATAAATAGTCTCCCTGATAGCTAATACACGATGGGATATATATGCAGCCTCCCAGATGAGAAAATGGAAAATTTTTCTTGTCTCCATCAAGTCTGATGACCATCAGGCACCTCTCTGCTCACAACTTAAAAGCTGTTGATTTTTTTTTTTCATTTAACCTCCGTGTAATCTAAAAGCTGGACTTCAACATCACAGTTCTAACCCACAGAAGGTCAAAAAAGTGGGTCACGAATTTCCAGAGCACTCACACGCTACCTGCCTCTGCAAACTATATGAGCAGCGTCTCTACTCATAGCAGGAACTCCTGCTGACAGCTTTTTTTCATTGTGTGACTTCTACCCATGGTTTAGTTTAAACCGCCTTTGTTCCTTTGTTTTTTTTTTTTTTTTTTTTTTTTTTTGTACATTTAACATAAATTAATAAGTTGTATTACAGACACAAGTCTCATTGAGGCATCGGTTTAATTTTATACCAGGGAGGAAATGTTGGTTTGGAGGAGGAATGACATAAAAGATTAGGATGAACTGGAGGCATTTGGTGAATAGAAAAACCCTCATTAAAACATATTCAATTTTTTAATTTTTATTTTTAGGAAAATGCATGGAAGAGCACAGTAAGTGCATTTTTCTCCCTTATACAAATACCGCTTTTGCTTTCAGTTTTAAGTTTGCATACCAGTTAATCATTTATCTTTTATTACACATTTCTAGGGAAAGAGGAAGAAAAATTGGGTGAGTAGTTTGGCACGCTCGTTGACTGGTGACCCTTACCCAGGTGCTAATGTAACCTGCTTGTCCTCCTCTAAATGTCTGCGCTGCAGAAGTGTCCAGATGAGTTAAACATAGTCAAAAGAGGGGAGATAGGCACCCCTAGACAGAAAATGTTTGACCTATGTGGAGATGTTGGAGACCTGATACCCAGTAAATGCGTGGAAAGTTGAACATCTCAAGATATCAAGCCTCCAAAAAGACAAGCCACCCTATTAGATTTTGAAGAAGACGTCATCCGCCCCGGAAAGGGGAGGTTAAATAGCTTGAATTCTCTTTCTTGCCCTCTTCTTCCTCATCCACAGCAAACGTGACGCTGGACCCTGAGACAGCCCACCCTCGCCTCATCCTGTCCAAGGACCAGAAGAGCGTGCGATGGGAATACATGCTGCAGGAGTCGCCCGACAGCCCCGAGCGCTTTGACGCCGATCCCTGCGTGCTGGGTTGCGAAGCCTTCACCTCTGGGCGTCATTACTGGGTGGTGGACCTGGCAGAAGGGCAGTACTGCGCCGTCGGGGTCAGCAGAGAGTCTCTGCCAAGGAAGGGACCCGTTAGTTTTAATCCCGAAGAAGGGATCTGGGCCGTGCAGCAATGGGGATTCAAGAACCGAGCCCTCACCTCCCCTCCGACCCTCCTGAACCTGCCACGGGTCCCCAAAAAGATCCGCATCTCTCTAGACTACGAGTGGGGGGAGGTGGCGTTTTTTGACGTTGAGAACAAAGTCCCCATCTTCACTTTTCCTCCAGCCTCCTTCGCCGGGGAGCGGATCCGGCCTTGGTTCTGGGTGGAGCTGGGCTCCCTCTCGCTGGTCCGATGACCCTCGTGTTCCTTGTTCATCTTGCCATGAAGCTCCCAGTGAGGTACTGGGAGCCCTAAAAGTCGTGGGGAGGTCAAACCAGTGCTTGAGATCATTGTGGGGCCAGCTGTGATGGGAGGCGGGCAATTAGGGACATCACCAAAGCCACTGGAGCTTGGAGGAAGCAAGGTCTTTACCTTTCACTGCACTTTAACAACACCGATGAATTCCTCTTTAATGTCTGCTCATTCTTAGCCACCTGTAAAAAAATAAAATTAAATTAAATCTTGTCTTTTGCCCCACCATGGGATGGGCAACTGGTAGGTACCAGCTCACAATAAACCACTTGAGACTCTCTGGAGGATTTGATTTCTTTTTGTAGCTGGTTCGGTATGGGCATCTCCAGGTCTTCTTGGATGATGCCTGCAGCCCGTATGGCTTCTCCTTGCAGCATCTGCCCCAAAAAGCAAAGAAAACCAAAAATGTAAAAAAAAAATAAATATATATATAAAGATTAATAATGAAAATTGAACAATAAAGTAAAAATATAAAAATATAAGAAGTAAAAGAATAAAAGGGTAAAAATTAAAAGGTAAAAAATAAAGTGAAAGAATAAAAGTATGACAAAAATAAAAATGGGAAATTTGCTATGGATCATATCATGGGAACAGGCAAGGTTAGGGGATTGCTGCCTTCTCCCACCTATGGGTAATGGCCAGAGCATCCCAGGCTCTCAGCCCTATGCTTTGAATTTCTCTTTCTACTGCTTTTTGGGCCAGAAACCTTCATTATTGCCCTTGCAACCCATAGGTGTGGTGGCACTGGCATGGAGTAGACAGGAGAGGACACATGCAAGGGGAAGAGGGAGGGGAGGGACAGACCATGTGGCTGAGGACCTGAAGATGATAATATAAAAACTTAAGAGCACACAGTGAAGCAGCCAAAAATACCATTCCTCCCTACTTTGAAGCAGAAATAAACATGATAAAAAGGTTCTTTTTTAAAGGAATTAACTATCAATGTGGCAAATGCCACCAAGGAGCAGCCACATTTGGAGAAGCAGCAGCGACTTAGGTGTGAGTTTGTGAGATTGTTTTTGATGTAATCCAAAATTGCAATTTAGGAAGGAGTTCCTGGGCCATTTGTAACCCATGAAAGAGGCTGGAAAATGGGATAAAAAAGCTGCTTGTTAGGTGAGTGTTGTGCTACTGGTGGGTGCTGAGCCCCTAGGAGGTGGTCGAGCTTGGATGGTTGCTGTGCTGCCAACACCCCATCTCTCTCGAAAAGACATTTATTCCCATCGCCAAAAATGACAAAGCATTTTATCTGAAGCTTTATCCAGCCAAATTCTCCGTTGGAGACACCGATCTGACAGAGGGGTCATATATGAGCCTTTCCCTGGCAGGGAGACACCAGGCAGCACATTCCTCTCCGTGTTTCCTTAAATAGGGCTGATATTTCCCTCTGTCCCACATGTGATCCGCCTGTGAGCTCACACAGCCTGTGCTAACCCACCGTAGAAGAGCCCTGTGGGTTAAATCACCCCACGCTTTAAAAAAATCTTCAGGGATCTCGTTTTGCTGCCTAACAGGTAAGGGTCTTTTTGGGGACATTCATGGCGAAGCTGTCACCCACCCTGGCATTGCTGAGATGTTCTTCCAGGGATGGATAAAAATTGGGTTTGCACCCTGCGTGGTCCATCTGGGTGGGTTAACCTGACAACAAGGGGAGTCGTGTTGCTGCAGGAGGCTCCAGGCTCTGTATTTTTTTCGGGATAGTTAGAAATTTGAGGTAGTTTTCACCTTTGACATAGGGTTTGTGAGGAATTGGTGTCTTGCTGGCTGTCCCATTGCCTTTCTGCCTTGAAAGCAGCTTGGCTTCTGCTCCCATGGGAAGATTGCACCAAGGTCTCTCCTAGCGGACTGCAAAGGAGGAGAAGGCACAAACAGCAGGTTAGAACCTGAACTTTTTGGGTTGAAATGTCTGTTTATGGTGGTGGGTGGGATGCTTGGATCCTTCTTTAGCCCCCCCGGGACTGGAGACACCAATCTGAGGCTGGTGATGGAGACTTACGTAAAATGAAGCTCATACCAGATGCCTGAAAGACAGATGTTAACATCCACATCAGTAGCAAAAGACAAAAAAAAAAAAAAGGGCTTGCTAGCAGACGATCCATCCCTTCCAAAAATCACCTTCTAGAAGAGTTTTGAGCCTCCCTCCACTGCTTCTCCTTCCTCCACCCGTGCCGAGACCTTTTGTGTTTTCACCCCAGTACAGGTGGCGAGGAGAAGGGAAAGGGAAGAGGCTGGAGATGCTCCCATGGCTTCAGCTGCTTCTCGAGCAAGGGAAAGGGGAGAGGAAGGCGCCCACCACATCGCCCCGAAGCATCGGCCAGATCCTGAGCACCTGAGCTGCGGAGGTGGCACGGCCAAATCCTGTCCAGAGCGAGGAAGGCTCGGAGATGCCGAGGCCATCAGCCACCGAAACCACCTCAGGAAGGGGAATTTCCAGCCCAAACTCCACCTGGAGCATTTAGCGGAGAAGCTGAAGCTCTTGGGGCTGGAAGGAGGCGGAGAGGAGGAGCAGCTCTGCTCGTGGCATAAGAGGACGTTCGCCTTCAGGAGGGATGCGAAAGCATCTGGCTGCGGCGCACCAAGGGCTTGTGGAGAAGCCCACAGAGAGGAACCTGCCCAGGAGGACAGGGTCAGGCCCGTGGTATTGTTATTTGGGATTTTTCTTTACCTGAAAGTGGTGGTTTTTCGACCACCTTAGAGGATGCCGGAGTTTCTTGGAGCTTCTTGGGATCACAGGCTTCAAGCCAGCTTCCTTTTACAGTTCTCTCTGGTTGTAATTGCACTGTGAAAATAAATAACTGGAAATAATTGGAGAGAACTAGGAAAAAAAATTGATTTGACTAAAAAATATGAAAATATTAATTTTCAGGCCACACCCTTCACCCCAAAACAGTTAATGGGTATTTTCCAATGTATTTCATCTAAAAATCAAACTGCATTCCTGGAGTATCATCAAGAGTTTCTCTTTTGTCCCCCCGTGTCTATTTCTTCATCCTCGTGTCCACGCTGCAAATTTTTTCCAGTAAAAGCCAAGCATCACATCCCTTCCTTCCCCACTCCCCCCAAAATATCCCCCCAAACTGTTTTTCTTTCTCCAGGAGCAAATTCACAGAGACCTGGAGAACCTCAAGAAACAAAGGGAGGAGCTTTTGGAACTGAAAGCAAGCGGGGAGAGGAGATGCCAGGGGTATTTGGTAAGAAGTTGTTGCTATCACCCAGGAAAAATTGGGGTGCCAGACCAGCATGGTCCATGCTCTTGTCTTTCCATGTCCTACAGACACAAACAGAGGCTGAGAGGCAGAAAATTGTGTCCGAATTTCGGCAGCTGCGCCGCTTTCTGAAGGACCAGGAGGTCGTCCTCCTGGCCCAGCTGGGGGAGCTGGACAGGGAGGTGATGAGGAGGCAGGAGGAAGAGGAGGCCAAGGTGTCGGGGGAGATTTCGCTCCTCGACATCCTCATCTGGGAGGCGGAGAGGAAACTCGAGCAACCCACGAGCGGATTCCTGCAGGTTGGATGCTCCACGGGGCAAGAAGGGAGAGGGTCCAGCATCAATCCTGGTGTTGCCCTTTCTTGGAGCCTTCCCCCAAATTTTGGGAAGGGGAACTGAGGCTTTTTCTCTCTTTTTTTCCTCTCTCTTTTTCTGCTGCAGAGTGCCAGAAGCACCATGGGCAGGTACGTGCTCCTGCTCAGCGTGAGGGGTCATCCCAGCCACCATCCCCGTGGTTTCTGGAAGAGAACTGAAAGTTTTGGTGGTTCAGGCAGGGTCGAAAAGAGACCCGGAGGGACAAAAAGGTGCCTCTGAGCCCCAGGGTGGGGAAGGCATGAGAGAAAAGGCAGAGGTCAACAGGGACCCAAGTGTCCTCCTTCTGTACTGAGCTGCTTGGAGGCTCCAAGCCTGGTACTGAAGGAATTTTTGGGGGACATCCAGCTCTTCCCTCATCCCCATATCACCTGGGGTGCAGCTGGAGGAGGGATGGTCTCATCATCTCAGGCTATGCCATCTCCATACGCCCCAGGACTAAAGGGAAGGGTTTGCATCCAGGTGGGAGACGAGCAGCACCCGGAGGATGATGGAGACCTTCTCGGACCTCGAGCGGAGGCTCCGCGTCATTTCTCAACAAAATGACATCCTCAGAGAGGCGCTGGGGAGATTTCAAGGTATGGTGGAGCACAACTGGGCTGAGCAGGGGTTGTTTTTTCTGCTTGGGGGGAGGCAAATCTGTCTGCTCCTTCCCTACTGTAACATCCTAAAAATATGTAGAAGCAAGCAGCTGGAGATCATGACATCCAACGTTGTTCTTCATCCCGTAGACATTTTACCCTCTGAACTGGAGAAAGAAGTAGAACCATCTCTAGGAGGAGAGGGAAAAGGTGAGTCCTTGCAGACAACAGCCTGCTTGGGGGGATGCTGCTGCTCCAGCAGTCGTTTTTAGCTGAAATACTGCTTAAAGCATCTGGGAAATGATGGGTTGAGTTCAATGTGGGCTTCCTGAAAACCCAAAAGAGCTTTTGCCCCATGCTTAGCATGAGGCAAAGCTGTCCCAAGCAGGAAGATATTGAGACATCTCTCCTCACGCACCCAAGAGAGGCAAATTTGTGGTGCTGGGGCTGGAAAAAGCTTTGGTGGGGTGACACCTTCTTCTAACACCCATTTTCTCCATCCCAAGCAGCATTTATCACTCTGGACCCCGACACTGCCCACGCGAGCCTCATCGTGTCCCGGGACCGCCGGGGGGTGAGGTGGATGGATGCAGGACAGGATTTGCCCCCCAACCCCAGGCGATTCGACGTCTTCTGCTGCGTGTTGGGCCACCGGGGTTTCACCACGGGGAGGCATAGCTGGGAGGTGGAGGTGGTGGCTGGTGGGACCTGGGCCCTCGGTGTGGCCCGAAATTCCCTGTCCAGGAGGGGCTGCTTGGAGTTTCGGCCGGAGGAGGGGATCTGGGCTGTGGGGCGCTGCGGGAATCGGTACCGAGCTTTCGCCTCCCCCCCAACCACCCTCCCCACGAGTGGGAATCCCAGGAGGATCCGGGTGGTTCTGGATTACGAGGGGGAACAAGTGGCTTTCTACTTTGCCGAGCAACTCCCCCCTGTCTTTACTTTCCAAAAAGCCTGCTTTGGAGGGGAGAGCATCTTCCCTTTCTTCTGGGTGGGGAGAGGCTCCCACCTCCGCCTCTGCCCATGAGCCCTGAGGGAAGGGAGAGGTGCTCCTCAATTTTGGGATGCTCGAGCATCACCATCCCCTCCCTGATGCAGGCAAGGGGAGATGAGCACCCCATGTTCTCCCAGGGTCTTTGTTTTGTGCTCGTGTTATTTTTATGACATTATAAGATTTTCTACCAGATCACCCTATATATATATAAAAAAGGCAAACCATTGAATTGTCTTTCTGTAAGATTTTCTACAAGATCATCCTATATATATTAAAAAGAAAAAAGGCAAACCATTGAATTTTCTTTCTGTATTTAATGTTATCTAGGGCTATGGAAACTTCATGCTCATAGCTCTGGATGCTGTCCCCTTTCTCCCCCTGCAAGCCTGTGGAGGACAGCGATGTTGTCCCCATCCACCAGGACCCTGACTGCAGCTGGGTTTTCCCCTGTGCCCTGCTGCAAGCCAGAAAAAGGAGCTTGGGGTGGAAATGCATTCCTCCTCATTCACCCCTTGCTTGGGTGCCAAGGAAGAGGAGGAGGGCAGGTGTTTGCCCCCCAAGCCCTGGGGCCCCAAGGCTGGACATGGGGTGACTATAGGGCGACAGCATCCTTCTCACAGACCCATCTGGACTCAGCGTTGCAACCCTCGGAGCGGATTTGGGAATCTTTTATTAGGGCGCAGCTGCCACTGGTGGCCGAGCCCAAGATGCGGAACCTGCAGGAGGAAGGAGAAAGGTCCCTGTCCTGGGGCTGGTGGGGACAGAAAACCCCCCGCTTCTCCTTTTCCCCCAGGAGAAGGCTCTGACCAAGTTCTTCAGTTTTTAGGGACACAGCAATTTGGGGACAAAGCCAAGGGATGGGGCACTCACTGCTTGGTGTCCAGCACGGAGCCATCCAGCCACGTCCAGGTGCCTTTGGCCCCTGTCACCGCCAGCCCGATCCAGACGTAGCCCCTTCCCTGCGTGACATCCTGGAGCACCTGCTATAGGAGGGGGTGTTGGAGAGCTCTGATCCCCTTTTGGGGAGCAGATGCCCTTTGTGGGGCTGCTCTGGGTCTCCCCATCCCTTTTTTGGGGAGCAGATGCCCTTCGTGGGGCTGCTTTGGGTCTCCCCATCCCTTTTTTGGGGGGCAGATGCCCTTTTATATGACTGTTTTGGGGTGTCCCATCCCTCTTGGGGTGCAGCTGCCCTCCCCTTGGGTATCGGGGGGTTCAGGGATGCTCCTGGCAGGGGTGGGAGCTGGGATCGTGGGGACATGGGTGCTGTTTGCTCCCCATCTACCCCCCAAAAAAAGGATGATTAGCCCCAGGGAGATGCTGGGTGCGGGCTGGGGGTCTCCAGCTGCCCCCCACCCCAAAACAGGTCCCTGATTTACCATCTGCTCCCGGTTCCGGATGATGAAGAGGGCAGAGCCCTTTTGGGCGCAGTCGTCCCGGCTCCTCTGCCAGTCCCGGCTCTCGTGGGACACCCAGTAACACCAGTTCCCGTGCTGCAACCAGTCCCGGGGACACAGCCGGCACTCTCTGCCATCTGAAGGGACAGGAGGCCCTGAGGATGCAGCCAGCCCCCATGGGCCGGATTCTGACCAAGACTTGGGGCTGTTTGATCCAAGAACAGCTCAGGTTCGGGCACAACTTTTTCCTTCCAGCATTTTGCTGCAGCGAAGACCCCCACGACCTGAAGCATCTTTTGCATTATGGGGCCACGCTCTTAAGTGTTTTGTACCCCAAAATGGGCCCGGATGGCCAGGGTTACCCCAGGATCATGGGCTTACCCATCTCGGGTGCGTTGCACAGGGCTGTTTTCAGCTGGAGCTGAAATCTCTCCAGGCAGCCTCTGCATCCATTCTCCCAGTTTTCAGCATCGGTGGCTGATGTGTTGAGAGTCACATAGCACTGTCCTGAGCCATGCAATTGCCAGACTGCAAAAAAAAAAAAAAAAAAAGAAAAAAAAAATCACTGCTAAATCACTGCTTGTGGCTTCCAGGGTCACCCTGTCCCTGCAGGTGTCACCGTGCTGGTGCAATTCATTTGTGGCTCGGCGGTGCCCTACTCACCTCTCAGCCCCAGGGTTATCACTGCTATAGCCAAACCAGTGCTCAAAGCCCATCCGGTGCTGGCGACCAGGTACTGGCATCGAGGGGATCCTGTGGGATGAGATGAGCCTGGATCGTGCCCACCCTCACAGCCCAGCTGTGTCATGGGGCAGAGGGGATGGGGGGAGCAAGGTGTCTCCATCCGGCCCCACGACGGCACCGCAGATGAACAGGAAACTGCAGCTTGAAAAAAAAAAAAAAAACCAACAAAAAACCAACAAACCTTCCTCGCCTCTGCTGCATGAGAAAGCAGATAGGGTCCTGGGTTTGTATTAATTGTGTAGGGCACAGGGGAATTTTCAAGCCTGCACAGGATGGTGTGGCTCCAGCGGTGCTGATGCTGGCCGGAGTGATGCGATACGAGACTGGGAGATGTCCTGAGGTGCAGCGTGGCTGTGTTCCCCTTCATCTTACCCTCTGCCCACCCTGTGGCCCCCAAAACTGCACTTGGAAAGGTTTGGGGAGCCCTGGGAGTGTTGGGAGCTTCTGGGTGAGCAGCCCAGCGGATGGAGGGAGCATCCTCCTGCTTGCTCGGATCACCCAGCCAAACGTGGTGCTCCTCGGGGCTTTCTGCTCTTCAACCCCACTGATTTGCCATCCCACACGTCCCTCTTGAACCAATGGACCCTCCCCAATGAAGCCTCCTTCCAAGCCCATCTCTTGCCCCCTTGCCAAACCCACATCTCCCCAACTTTGGGCTGGAGGAGAATTTTGATGGTCTTGAGCCACCAGCGGCCGCTCTGTCCCTACCCCACAGCTCCTCCGCCACCCCACAGCCTCACCTGCCATCCCACTGCCTTGCTTCCTCTGTGGGGTGCTGCGTTTCGCCCCAAACTTCAGCATGGTGTAGCCCTCCTCATCCTCCATCGCCCAGAGCCACGGTGACGAAGGCTGCAGCCACCACGCCGGACAGCCTCCAGCTCTCCGCCAAGGCATCGGCGATGCTGTGGCCACAAAGGAAATGAGGCCTCGAGCGGTGCTGTGGTCTTCGGGGCAGTCACCTCCCTTGGCTCTGGCCCACACCCACTCTGGTGATGCTCTTCCTCCAGACACAGCACCCTGGGGAGGCGCAGAGGTCCAGGTGCTGGTGCAGAGCTTGGGTCCGTGCATGGAGATGCTCCGATGGCGCAGCTTGGGGGCCTGAAGCATCACGTTGCAGCTCTCCAGGTGCATGGCCACTGTCAAAGTTGGGTGTGCATTGCACAGCCCAGCACCTCACCGCACTGCAAAGCACCCCATGGCACGGCACCCCGCTGCACAGCCCCGTGGGAGGCAGGAGCAAAGAACAGCCAGGACCTCATGGAGTTATTTGAGCATGAGCAAAAGAGGCACCGAGATGCTTTTCTTCCCTCCTGTGCCTTGATGGCACACACCTGGGGCACAAATTAAATGAATTAACTTACTTCCAGCCTGAATGGTGCAAATAAGAAGGGGGAGCCTTTGTCCCTTGGTTCAAGCCTTAAGATTCTCAGAACAAGGATGAGCAAGCACAATCCCAAATCTTCTCGCCTTGGAAAAGAAGCACGGACGTGGAGCGTGCTTGGAGGTGGAGAAGAGCACAGAGGCAGCAGGACACAGATGCAGGAGGATGAACTGTCCCCTCACCTTGCAGGCTGCCGGATGAAACCCTCCCGAAACCACAGGACGAAGCGGTCCCTGGCCCCTTGCTGAAGGATGGCAGCAGATCCAAGCCACATCCCGTGCCCGGCCCGGCTGAAACAGCTGCTGCTTGCTCTGCTGGGCTCTGCATTTCCCGTGTACGAGATGACCACAGCCATGGCACAGCACACACATCCACAGCACAAAAAGGCTTTTTCCACATTTCTTTCCTCCTCCACCCCCCCCAAAAAAAATTAAAAAATTAAAAATAGAAGTATTTTGCTGGTTCTCAGATCCTCCCTATCCGCGGCCAGGGATGGGGAGCAGGAGGGAGAGGGATGCTGAGCACAAATCCCTCCGAAAGCTCTCTCTGCACAGCCGGAACTGTCCCCCCCTCGTCCCCCTTGGCTTTTTCCTGTGCCTCTGTGCAGCATCCCGGCCAGCAACCGGCTTCCCCGAGCTTCCAGCAGCGCTGCCCGGCCGGGGATGCGCTGGGAGCCAGGATCTTGCGGCCGGGACCAGGCTGATCTGATCCAAATTGGGCTGAGCATCCCGGTCCCCCCCCAGGGAAATTAAGATTTGCAGCCCTGGGGTGCTGCAGGGTTTGGAAAAAGGGGAGATTACATCGAAACAGAAAGGCTGGTGCGAAATAAGCCCACGGGGAAGTGTCACCCAGTTGTGATTTGGCCGTAGCGAAGGGAGTGCTGGCAACCGCGCGTCTGCCCCCAAAAGAGGGCTTTCTGGCCCCAGAAGAGACTGGATGGAAGAAGGGGGAAAGCTGGTGGCACCTGGTCCTCCGGGGAGAGAGCTGGGCAGCACTGGGAGCAGCCAAAAAGGTGAGAAATTGGGGAGTGGGAGAGGAACCACTGGGAGTTTCCAACATTTTAACCCATAAGGGTGAGAATTGTCCTGGCTGAGGGCATATCCTTGTGTCTTCTGGCAACAGGGGCTCGCTGTAACTCAGCTTCCACAGTTATCTGTGGCCCCTGGGAGTGGTTATTGATGTCCTGGTCATGGAGATCCCATCCCAGGGCAAAAAGTAATGTTATCCATCTCACCCTGCAGGAGACAGGACGCGGAGGGAGGACGAAGGTCCCCACGTGGAGCAGGAGGGTCTGGCTGAAGGCAAAATGGGTGAAACTACGGTGATAAAACCAGAAGGGGATAACAGTGGGAAAGATCATGGGATGGAGCCAAGGAAAGCAGGGAATGAATTCGCCTGTTGTGATGGGGATGGGCAGCTCGTTGTAGAAGAAAATCTCTATGAGTGTTCGCACTGCAAGAAATGCTTCCAGGAGAGGTCGGAGCTCATCTGCCATCAGCGGCTGCACCGAGGGGAAAAGGCTTTCAAATGCCAAGAGTGCGGCAAGGAATTTGGGAAGAGCTCGGACCTGAGCTCGCATCAGAAAAGCCACATGGCGGAGAAACCCTACCAGTGCTCGACGTGCGAGAAGTTCTTCAAGGACAGGTCGACGCTCATCAGGCACGAGCGAGTGCACACCGGGGAGAAGCCCTACAAGTGCCATGAGTGCGGGAAGAGGTTCACCAGGAGCTCCGACATCGTTGTCCACCAGCGGATCCACACGGGGGAGAAGCCCTTCGAGTGCTCCGAGTGTGGCAAGAGGTTCAGCCAACGCTCCAACCTCTTCACCCACCGGATCGTGCACACCGGGGAGAAGCCGTTCGAATGCCACGAGTGCGGGAAAAGCTTCGCAAGGAGGTCGGAGCTCACCATCCACCAGCGCACGCACACCGAGGAAAAGCCCTACCAGTGCTCCCAGTGTGAGAAGTCCTTCAGGGGGAGGTACGGGCTCTTCAGGCACGAGAGGTTGCACACTGGGGAGAAACCCTATGAGTGCTCTGAGTGTGGGAAGAGCTTTGGGCAGAGCGGGGACCTTATCACGCACCAGCGTTTCCATACTGGTGAGAAGCCCTACCAGTGCGGCGAGTGCGGGAAGTTCTTCTGCAATAAATCCAGCCTCGTCAAGCACCAGAAATGGCACTCAGGGGGAGAAGCCCTACAAGTGCCATGAGTGCGGGAAGAGCTTCGGGCAGAGCTCGGACCTCATCGCCCACCAGCGCACACACACGGGGGAGAAGCCCTACCCGTGTGCCGAGTGTGGGAAGAGGTTCACCAGGAAATCCAGCCTCCTCGTGCACCAGCGAGGCCACAGGGGACAGAGGACGGGAGGCTGCTCGAGAAGTGGGAAGACCCTGGAGCAAAACCCTGCAGGAGATGGCTCATCCCCGTGCTCCGAGTGTGCAAAACCCCTCGAGGAGGAATCCTTGAGCATCCTTGAGCAGCAGCGATGACGCAGAGGACAAAAACCTCCCAAGTGCCTGCAGTAGGAGAATGGGCTCGGCCAGAGCTCGCATCCTAAGATCACACTAAATAAGAAGGAAATGGATGAGGTTTAAAGCGTGGGATACTGTCCTGTGTGAGATTCACATTTTTTCTGCATCAGAGACTACTCAGGGAGAAGAAAAGGGGGTGCTATGAGTTGGGTCAATCATTGCTATGCCACAATAGGGGTTCCTCAGTGACAGAAAAAAGGCTAATTTCACACATTATTGTATAGTTTGCTTAACAACCTTCACTTTGCTCCTCTGACAGCCTCATCTGAACTCTGTTCCCTACAGAGACCCCTTCTACCATCCTATCCCATTTCCTTAATATCTTGCTGTTTTATCTTCTAAGGTTAGCTCACAATTGCTGAGAAATCTCTCCTGCTCCCATCCAAGCCCCAGCTCAAAATAGAAATCAAGGTCAAAACAGCAATCAATAATCAATAGCAATCAATAATTAATAATCAAGAGTGAGGGCACACCCCGCCCTGAGGCGTTAAACCTCAATTTCCAAACGGGTTGGAGATTTTATTTTCTTATTAGCTCTCTGCACGTCTGATAGAATCCATGGGAATTTTATATTGATAGAATACAAGAGAGGAACATGCGGGGGAGCATCTTCCCTCCAAGCTTTTTAGGGTGGGGAAAATCAAAAGGGCTCCACCTGGGGGTGTCGGGGAGCATCTGCTCCGCCTGATTGAAGGGAGAATCGAGGTCTCAGTGCCAAAAAATTAAAAATATTCGTGGCTTGAAAGGAAAGAGGTGGAGGTAATTTATATTGAAAATTCAATAAATAATCTTTTTTAAAAAATATATTTAATAATTATTTTTTGCTGGTGGGTTCTGCGTCATTACTACATGCGGGGGAGATGGTCATCTGGGGGGGGTGGCAGTGGGTGGATGTGGCTCCGTACCGGTAGCACCGGGGCTGCAGCACCCGGAGGGGGGGCAGCGGAAGGGGCGGGAGGAGCTCGGGGCCGCCCCGGGGTGGGACCGGAGCTGCCGGACCCCCCCTCGGCCCCCCCGGACCCGGGATTGGAGCTGGGGCTGGCTCTGGGGTCGCTCCCGGTGGCCCGGAGCCTGTCGCAGTCCCCAGCTCGCCCGGAGCCGGCGGCGAGTTGGGGGAAGTTGCCCCCTAACCGTTCGCAGGTCGGAGTTTTTTTTAATATATATATTTTATATTATAGTTATTTTTATTTATTTATTTATTTGGTTGGTCGGTTTATTTATTTTATTAATTTTTATTTTTATTTATTCTTATTGTTTATTTTTATTTCTTATTTTTATTATTTTTTTATTTTTTTATTTTTCTTCTCCTTCTTCTTCTCCTTCTTCTTCTTCTTCTCTATTTTTTTATTTTTATTTATTCTTTTTATTCTTTTATTCTCCTTCTCCTCCTTTTCCTCCTCTTCCTTCTCCTCCTTTATTCTCATTCTCATTCTCATTCTCCTCATTCTCATTCTCATTCTCATTCTTATTCTTATTCCTACTCTTATTTTTATTCTTGTTCTTATTCCTTTTCTTGTTCTTACTCTTATTCTTGTTCTTAATTATAATATTACTATTACTTTTGTACTTATTTTGCTCAGAGTTTCCTCCTTAGGCCTGCTTTACAGCTTGAAGAGCATCCAGAAGGACCGGGGAGCATCGCCATCAGTGGAAAAAGCATCACATTGATGGTGAGACCCCCAGGATGGGCTCAGGATATGGGGGGCTCCGAGCACACAGGCACTGCCCTGAGTGTGGGGTTGCCCAAGGGTGGCCCTCCTGCTCTGTGTTGACCGCTTCTCAGCACTAATCCCACCTCTGGGATAATTTCATTCCCCTGATATTTATTTAATTCCCCTGATCTTTAATTTCCAGTTCCCCACTTAGCTACGGAGAGTTTTCCTGTGCGAGGATTTATCATGCTTTTACTCCTCCTCCCCCCAGACCAGCAGCTATTCCTGAAGCATGGCCAAACCCCAGCCCTATTTTGGGCCCAAACGGAGCTGAGCGGATGGAGCAAGGTGAGGGAACGTGGGAAGATGCTCAGCAAAGTGAGACGGAGACCCTGGAAAACCCTTGGCGAGGTGAGAGCTGTGCTCCCGTGTGGCTGTCCCAGCCTGCAAGCCCATCCTGGGGGCATTTTTCTTAGAAATAACATTGCTGCTTTCTTCTTGCTGTAACCCAGCAGGACATGGGATGGAGAACGAGGTGGAAAAGGATCCCCATTGGGAAGGACCTGAAATGAACATGTCATCATCGGGAAACTCAGGAGGAAATTGGTTTTGGCAGAGAATGGATGGCACAAATGACCGCAGGCTGCAGGGCTGCGCGGGGAAGGATGCAAGCGTGGCTGACGTCCTCGAGGAACCCAACCCCCCAGCAGAAAGCTTTGCTCAAGAGAAGAAATATTTCTGCAAAGAATGCGGGAAAAGCTTCAGGCACAACTCCAATCTCATCGTGCACAGGAGGACGCACACCGGGGAAAAGCCCTATGCCTGCTGCGCGTGCGGGAAACCCTTCAGCGACAGGTCGAACCTCGCCAAGCACCAGAGGCTGCACAGCGGGCAGAAGGTTTTTCGGTGCCGTGATTGCAGGAAAACCTTCGGGAATAACCCTGATTTCCTCGAGCACCAGAAAACACACACGGGCGAAAGGCCGTTTAAGTGCTCCGAGTGCGGGAAAAGGTTTTGGCACAGCACCAAGCTGGTGATGCACCAGAAAACCCACGCGGCGGATAAAATCTACAAGTGCCCGCAGTGTGAAAAGCGCTTCAAGGACAAATCCACGCTCCTCAGGCATGAGATGGTGCACACTGGCGAGAAGCCGTACGAGTGTCACGAGTGCGAGAAAGCGATTCGCTCGGAAATCGGACCTGACCGTCCATCAGAGAATCCACACAGGGGAGAAACCCTTTGCTTGTGCCGAGTGTGGGAAGAGCTTCAATCACAAATCCAACCTCTTCACCCACCAGAGGAGGCACACGGGGGAAAAACCTTTCCAGTGCCAAGAGTGCGGGAAGAATTTTGGCCACCGGACGGATCTGCTGGTCCATCAGCGGACCCACACGGGGGAGAAGCCCTTCCGCTGCTCCGAGTGTGGGAAGTGCTTCAAGGGCAGGACCACGCTCATGCGGCACGAGAGGCAGCACACGGGTGAGCGGCCCTACACGTGTCCTGAGTGCGGGAAGAGCTTTGGGCTGAGCGCGGACCTGGTGGTCCACCAGCGCTTCCATACGGGGGAAAAACCCTACAAGTGCGGCGAGTGCGGGAATTTCTTCTGCAACAGCTCGAGCCTCGTCAGGCATCAGCGGAAACACACAGGTGAGAAGCCCTACAAGTGCCACGAGTGTGAGAAGAGCTTCGCGCAGAGCACGGATCTCCTCGAGCATCGGACGACCCACACCGGGGAGAAGCCCTACCCGTGCCAGCAATGTGGGAAATGTTTTGGTAGGAAATCCAACCTCATCGTGCACCAGCGAGTGCATGGACTCGGCAAACACCGGCGGGGTGGGAAAAGCTTCCAGGTGAATCTGGGCCGCCCCGACGGGCTGATGGACACTGCTGCTGCAGCGTGCTCGGGGTGCACCTAAGTGCTTTGGTGGAACTGTTGAGCATCAGTAGTGACACGGAAGAGAAAACCCCTGCAAATGCCTGGAGGAAAGAGGCAAAATGGAGAAAAAGCTCAGTAGATCCTAGAAGCGATGGTGGGGAAGGAACAGCCTGTGGAACATGAGAAGTCTTGATGTTCCACAGCAGAGTCTGCAAGGATGGGGGGAATAACCTGTGTGTATGTTTTAGGGTGGCCAAAGTAAAATGTGAAATGGTTTCTTAAATGATGTGTATTATTGCAAGCACCTCGAATGGTCTTGGCATTCACTGCATGGCTCCTGCTCTTCTGGTGGTCTTTTCCCTGTCCCAGTGCAGCCCAGCTCTTAGCCAGGCTTCTGCTCATCACCCTTCCCACTTTTGTCCTTATCCTGGTCCTTCTGCCTGCATCCTGGGCCTCCAGAAGCACCTGTAGGGTGGATGCAGTCATCCCACAAGCATAGCCTGTGCTGGGCTCCAGCCCATAGCCCCATATGCAATCCAAGGCCATGGATGGCAGCAGTGAGACCCACTGGCCCCCTATGGGCCCACCCCATCCTTCTGCGTTGGGTGAGGTGTCCCATTGCTGGATGGGGTCATCTTGTCACCAACTGATGGAGAGACACCTATGGGGATGGCACAGAGCCTGGGCTTACCAGAAACCCCTTTATGGCCTAGGGTTGACAAGACCCACACCACCATGACCACTGGTTCGCAGCCAGGGCGTTATTAACACAACTCCAAACCAGCCATGCAACCCAACCAGCCAACCAACTGTTTATATTAATGTGTTTTTTTTCCAGATATTTGGCTACTAATGATAAATTCACTGCCCCAGTGGACCACCTGGGATCTAAACACATCAGAGATTACTAATTAAAAGTCAGAAAATTATGGGATGACCATGTCAAAGGCGAAGCTAGGAGCAACCATCCCAGTGACAACAGCCATAGTGCTCCCACAGATCTTTGCTGTGGTGGCACCATGGGTGGCTTTAGGTTTTTTGGAGGAAAAGGAGGTGATGAGAAGGAAGGGAACGGGAGGTAGGTCCTGGCACATGGTGAGAAGGAAAGATGAGGCCAAAGAGACTCTGAGCACCCCAAAGACTCTTGACCATCTCTCTGAGCAACTCCCAAGTTCAGGAGCAAGAATACACCAAGAAAGAAAGAAAAACAAAAACAAACAAACAAACAAACAACAACAACAACAACAAAACAAACAAACAAACAAACAAAACAAAAAAAAAAACAAAAAAAAACACAAGGGAAGTGTGATTTCCCCACAGACAGTTTTTAGACAGTTTTCTTCCAGAATGCAGGGTTGCAAACATCATTTCCCCCTCTCACATTTTTTTACAGCAGCAATCCCTTCCTGCCACGCAGGAGCAATTCCAGATTTAATACACAGCTATTTAGATAACAGAAAAATAAAAGGTAAACATAAGATTAGGAACAGAGGGCTTTTTTTATTATTATTACTGATGTTAAATACATATAGTGGGGAGGGAAGGATGTGTGTAGGAAGACAGATTTCTACAGTATCTCAGGGTGCTGATGGGCACCCAGGCGGATGTCCCAGCCTGGGGAATGCTGCAGGATTTAAGGGCTTTGAAGCCAGGTGATGGGATAGACAGACAGCCTGAACCCCAGAACAAGATGGTTTGACTGGGGGAGATGGAAGTGAGTGGATCAACACACATCAAGCCCTTGAAGCAAACTCAGTAAGAAATAATTAGAAAAAAAATAATTATATTATTTACTCTCATCAGCCTACTTTAGACCATTTGTGTGTTTTGTGGTATTTTTTTATTTTTCCTGAAGACTGCAAAGGTGGAAAGATTGAATAATACCTAGGCAAAGCTCTAATTTTTCTTATCTGCCCCAATCCAGAACTCTGGGTGCTTACAGAGCTTTTCTCCCCAGTGCTATCTCTGGTGTTCACCGGGGTTTGACCCCTCCTCAAACCACTTCGTGCACTCGGACACCGAGGAGAGTTCTGCTGCAGGGCGAGCTGTGAGTTCTGCTGGAAGCTTCTCCCGCACTGCCGGCATTTGCAGAGCCTGTCCCTTCCGTGCACGCGTTGGTGCACAACGAGGTTGGACCTCCTGTTGAAGCTCTTCCCGCACACTGAGCATGGGTAGGGCTTCTCACCCGTGTGCGTGCGCCGGTGGGTGATGAGGTCCGAGCTCTGTGCAAAGCTCTTCCCACACTCGTGGCACTTGTAGGGCTTCTCCCCGGCGTGCAGCCTCTGGTGCCGAAGGAGGCTCGACCGGTTGCTGAAGCTCTTCCCGCACTCGCCACACTGGTAGGGCTTCTCGCCGGTGTGGAAGCGCTGGTGGGCGATCAGGTCCCCGCTCTGCCCAAAGCTCTTCCCACAATCGGAGCACTCGTAGGGTTTAATCCCCGTGTGCAGCCTCTCGTGCCTGAAAAGCGTCGACCTCCCCCGAAAGAACTTCTCGCACTCAGAGCAGTGGTAGGGTTTCTCCCCCGTGTGCGTGCGCTGGTGGACGATGAGCTCCGAGCTCTGCCCGAATCTCTTCCCGCACTCCTCACACTTGTAGGGCTTCTCCCCCATGTGCATCCTCTGGTGCCGGAAAAGATTTGACCTGTGGCTGAAGCTCTTGCCACACTCGGGGCACTCGAAGGGCTTCTCTCCTGTGTGTGTCCGCTGATGGACGATGATATCGGAGCTCCTGGTGAACCTCTTCCCGCACTCGTGGCACTGGTAGGGCTTCTCCCCGGTGTGCACCGTCTCGTGCCTGATGAGCGTCGACCTGTCCTTGAAGCACTTCTCACACGTCGAGCACTGGTAGAGCTTCTCCTCCACGTGGACCCTCTGGTGGAGGTTGAGGTCCGAGCTCTGGTTGAACTCCACTCCGCACTCGTAGCACTTGTAGCGCCGCTCACCCACGTGCCGCTGCTGGTGCTGCAGCAACTTGGACTTGTCCCTGAAGCACCTCCCGCACTGGGGGCACTGGTAGAGCTGGTCTCCTGCGTGGACCTTCTCGTGGACGAGAAGCCTCGATTGGTGGATGAAGCTTTTCCCACACTGCTTGACATTTAAAGGGCTTTTCTCCCATGTGGATCCTCTTGTGCCTAATGAGCAGCGACCTGTCCGGGAAGCACTTCTGGCACTTGGGGCACTCGTAAAGCTTCTCCCCGGCGTGCGTCTGCTGGTGGACGATGAGGTTGGAGCTCTGCCTGAAGCACTTCCCGCACTCGTGGCACTTGTAGGGCTTCTCCCCCGTGTGGATTCGCTGGTGCACGATGAGGTTGGAGCTCTGGCCAAACCTCCTCCCGCACTCCTCGCATGCGTATTTCTTCTCCCCGGTGGCGGCCCCGCGCTGGGCTTTGGAGCCGTTGAGGATTTTCACGTCCTCTGCCTGAGGGATGAGATGAGCTACAGCCTTTACATCCTCATCTTCTCCCGGCCTCCACTCAGCCTCGGGAGCTGCCTCTGGCTGCGTGCCCTCGGAGCCGTTCCCTGCCCGTTTGCTGGCCACGATGCCAGCGGTGATGCCAGTGGCAATGCTGGGATCTCCCCTTTCTTCCTTGTGTCCTCGCGTCGGGCTCGGTTCAGCCCTTGCTCTCCTCGGGGTGCATCCTGCTGGGGGACACAAATGAGAAAAACGTCTTAAATCTGGAAGGGAAACGAGGTCACGGGGGGAGATGAAAGAAGCCTGAGAGCAAGAGCTGAGCCGTAGCAAGTCTGAGTTGTGGCAGGGGGTGAACCCAGGGGTCCAGGGGGAGTTTCTGGGGGGGGCAGTGCCTCACCTCCAAGGGGGTCTCCGGGGTTTTTTTCTTCTTGCATCCCTAGGGGGGTTGGAAGCTCTCCAGGCTGCTCCATGCAAGCTGGTTTCAGGAAAGGGAAGCCCTGCTCTGTGGGTTGAAAGTGGCAAAAATGTATCAAAATTAGAAATAGTAGAATTAGAAAAATTAGAAGAAGAATTAGAAAAAGTGCAATTAAAAATATAATTAAAATATAATTAGACTACAATTATAAATAAAATGAAAAGGAAATGAAAAAGAAAAAAGAAATTTAGAAATGAAATTAGAGATAAAGTGGGAAAATAAAAAGAAAAATAGAAAAATGGAAAAGAAAGAACAAAATTAGAAATAAAATAGAAAAGAAACATAGAAATAGTAAATAAAAATAGAAAGAAATAAAAAGTTGGAAATAAAATTAGATATAAAGTTAAAAAGAAAATAAAAAAAGAAAAAATAGAAAACAAGAAAATTAGTGATGAAAAGCTAAAATAAAAACGGAAAGAATAAAGATAGAAAAGAGAAAGTAAAATAGGAAAAAAAAAGAAAAAAATAGAAAAGTAAAACTATTAGACAGGAAAAAATTAAAATAGGAAAAAAAATAAAATAGAAAAAAAAATAAAAATAGGCAAGAAAAAAGAGACAAGAAAAAATAAAATTAGGAATAAAATTAAAAAGAAAGAAGAAATACAGAAACCAAACGCAGCCCGAGAACAAAAGTACAAATAACCTCCCAAACAGCCCCAAAGAGTGCCAAATCCCCCCCTCCTCACCGCATCCCCCTGCAGCGCCGCGCTGGCACCGCGTGGCCCGATCCCTGCACCCCGGCCCCCCCCCGGTTCCCCCATCCCCGTGCTTACCCCCAGACCCCCCCATTACCGGGCCCCCGCCCCGCGCTGCTCCGGCCCCGGCCCCGGTTCCCGGCCCCTTCGTGCCCTCGGTCCCCGGCCCCGGCTCGGCCCCGTCCCGGGGGGTGGCGGCCGGGAGGAGCCGTCCCGGGGGGGCGCCGCCAGCCCCGGATGGGATTCGCGGCCCCGCTGCCGGCCTCGCCTCCTCCCGGCCCCGCGGCCTTTGTTCGCTGCTGCCTCGCTTCCTTCCCGGGCGGATTGCGGCCTTTTTTTAGGGGCCTTTTTCATTTTTTTTTTTAATTTTATTTTTTACTTTTCTTTGTTTACTTTTTATGTTTATCGTGCTCTTCCTTTGTATTCTTAGTTTTTACTTTTTAATTCTTTTTCATTTCTTTATATTCTATTTTTTTACTTTTTTATTATTTTTCAGTTATTTTTTTTTACTTATTATTTTAATTTTTATTTCTCTTTTTTCGTGTTTTATTCTTATTTTTCTTTTATTATTAGTTTTCATTTTCTTTTTTATATTTTTTATATTTATATTTTTTATATTTATATTTTTCTTCTTCTACTTCTTATTCTTATTTATATTTTTATGTTTAATTTTATTTTCATTTTTTATATTTTATTTTTTTATTTTTTACTTATACTTTTATTATTTTACATTGTATCTTTTTACTTTATTATTCTTTTACTTTTAATTCTTATACTTTTTTTTGTTTTGTTTTATTTTATTTTTTCTATTTTTGTCATACTTTTATTGTTTCACTTTATTTTTTACCTTTTAATTTTTACCCTTTTATTCTTTTACTTCTTATATTTTTACTTTATTTTTCAATTTTCCTTTTTAATCTTTCTTCTTTTTATTTTACTTTTTTACCCTTTTTGGTTTTGTTTTTGTGTGTTTTGCTTTTTATTTTTGTTTCTACTTTTTTATATGTCTAGTTTTTATGTTTCTACTCTTTTATATTTCTACATTGTTTCCATTTATATTTTTATTTTAAATGTATTTATTATATTTTTATTCCTCTTTATTTTTATATTTCTTATTTATCTTATTTATTTTTTAACTTTTTATTTATTTTTTAACTTCAGGATTTGGAGACAAAGCAGACGATCTTCCCAACAGCCTAATAACGAGAGATCTGCAGTAGCCTTGTCCCTGTTTGCAAATTCTTGGGTCCTCCAGGTCTCTGGAAGGTCTTTATGAAAATGCACGGTAGCAAATAGGACCAACTTTTCAGGTTCTTAGCTCTGTCTGTGGTCCAACTCAACCGTCACCTATGTGTCCCACTCCTCCAAAAAAATCCCGTATTCTTGATCTGCCACTAACCCCAGGGGATGCCCGTAAAGATCCTCCTTGACTGAAGTGTCTGCTGGTAAATTTTTAATTTTTTTTTCTATCCCAGTGGAAGCAAATTCCCCAGTTTGGAAAGGACTGTGGTGGACTCTCCTTCCTCTGCCATTGCGTAAGTATCACATTGTCCCCAAGGCTGCTGCAGAATAATGTGGAGAACAAGTACAAGTTCTTGGAGAACTTGGAGGATCCCATTTCATTATTTTTTTTTGCCCAAGAATAGCAACTTGTGAAAAGCCCTCCCAGCCTTCACTCTCTGAGAAACAGCCCTGTAAACATACCCATTGCATTTCTGCTCGCAGGTCCTGAAGCAGGTCTGGTTTCTACCTCTCAAGAAGCTCATGTTCTGGAGATCTTCCCTTGTGGAGTTGTCGTTTCAGTGACTCATGGACAGGAAGACCTCTTGGCTTCTGATGTGGCTTCTGTGATGGAAATAGTCTTCTCCTTTCTAACAGGACACAGTCACAGACCCCAAATTAGGTTGGAAAAGAGCTCCTAGATCATTAAGTCTATCCTTGTAGGCAGATTTGTCTGGTCTGTCCATATAAAAATAGTGCTCTTAACCTGTTAAGAACCAGTGTTGGATCCCTTTCCTTCAGGAAACTCCACCCCAAGCCCAGTCTATGGTGTGTGGACAACTTAGATCATTGGGTGGATAGTTGGACTTTATGATCTGAAGGGTCTTTTCCAACCTAAATGAATTTGTGATTCTAAAATTTTAACTTCTTGTGCCTCAGCTTGGACATGGGCTCAAGTGGGAGCAAGTAAGGTGCCTAAACATGAAGACATCTCAATTTCTTCACCAGGTAATTTCTCAGCCTCCTAGATGATGAACGGGGATAGAGAATACAGGTGACTGAAGGCAGCACAGGGAGGATGAGTACCAGGAGTTGTAGGAAACCCAGACAGAAAAGAAACGAGTACCCCAGAAGATGTGGTTCAACCCAATCTCCTCTGCCACAATCCGAAATCTGCCTTGTTTCCAGGACCCAGCTGGTCCTGGGGAAGCTTTGTAAAGTTCCTCAAAGTGGAGGCCAATTCCTCCATGCATTACAGGCCAGAAACGTGGATTTAACTCGAAGAAGATAACTACCTGGGGGTCAGACATGCGAGGAGACGCGCCAAGTGGCCAAACATTGCAATTTTGATGAACATCGTGAACGTCATGAGGAGTTTGGAAGGTGCCTCTGGAGACCTGGTTTTCCTAGGGTCACACTGGCATATTTAAACATGGCATCAGTGTAAGTAGTACAAAACCCACTGCACTTTCTGAGCCCATCCACCCTACACACTGCATTTAGCGACTGAATTTCCTTCTTGCCCCACCCTCTGAAGTACTTACAGTCCTTCTTGTGTACAGACTGGTTCGTTTTTAATGGAACTTCACGTTTGCTGACTGATTTCTTGGCTTTTGTGGGCACAAGCACAGCAGCAAAATGTTCTTCTGTCTAGGTTTAAGTGCAAAGACCATCTCCCATGCTCAGATATTCTGTATATCCATCTCCTGCATGCAGTTTCTGATATTTAGCAAGGCAGGATCTCACACTGGATGACCTTCCACACTTGGAGTGCTGATTTTTCTCCTCTGTGAGTTTTCTGGTGCACGGAAAGGTGCGAGCTCTGCCCAAAGCTCTTCCCGCACTCAGCACATGTGTAGGGTTTCTCTCCCGTGTGCACGCGCTGATGTTGAATAAGTTTCGACCGCACGCTGAAACATTTCCCACACACTGAGCACTGGTAGGGCTTTTCTCCTGTGTGCGTTCGTTGGTGGACAATCAGGTCTGAGCTCTGTATGAAGCTCTTCCCACAGTCGGGGCATCGATATGGTCTCTCTCCGGTGTGTTGCCTTTGGTGTTTAATAAGGTTTGACCTTTTGCTGAAGCTCTTCCCGCACTCACAGCACTGGTAGGGCTTTTCCCCTGTGTGGGTCCTCTGGTGTGCGGTCAACGTTGAGCTCCGTGTAAAGCTTTTTGCACACTCGGGGCACTTGTACATTTTCTCGCCCGTGTGCACCCTCTGGTGTGTCACGAGGCTGGAGCTCCTGTTGAAGCACCTCCCGCACTCGGGGCACTGGTAAGGTTTTTCCCCAGTGTGGGTCCGCTGGTGGACAATGAGGTCTGAGCTCCTCATGAAGCTTCTCCCACACTCCGGGCACTTGAAAGGTTTCTCTCCCACATCGTCTCTTGGAGGCGTAAGCAAGTCCCTCCTCCAGCCACCCTCCTGCCCATGCTCAGGTGGCCTTTCTGCAGGCTCCTCCTGGATGGGGGTTTCTCCAAGGTTGGCGTCAGCTCCTCCACAAAGAGTCCTGCTCCCTGTTTTCCATGTTAGCAGACCCTGCTGGCTCCCATGGGTGCTGTGTTCAAGCACCACACACGTAACTGCACGCCTCCGTGCTTGCTCAGCATCTTGGTCTTCAGCACTCTCCTCCTCCATCTCCCCATCCATCCCAGGAGGTTCTGTGACACAGACAGAAGCCAGACAGGTTATTTCCTAGGCCAGATAGAAATAACATTAAGGGGAAAGTGTAGGAAAAGCTGAAGCACCAATTAACCAGACAGGACAACTGGCTGAAGTTCTGCTTCCATCATTTCCCAGGGATGGAAGATTGGGAAGATAATGGAGAGGAAATTCATTCTGATTTCCAGTTAGGATCAGTGGAACTATATCTCATAGTGGGATCTACCACATTTTGGCTAAAAGCCTGATGTGGGGTTGATAGGAAATAATAGTGTGTGCTGATGTAGGTAGTCATGGTCTTTGCCAACGACATTGCATCCTCACCTTCCTGCCTGCTGCTCAGGACTTCTTTTTTCTCCATTTCTTGAAGGTTTGGGGCCCAGTGCTCTCCTCCCTCCTGGGTGAGCAAGTCTGGCTCAGCAGCAGGAAAACCTGTCCCAGAGGAGATAATGGCATGAGGGATTTGAGAATTATTTGTGAAGTGAAAGAAATCTGAACTTTCTCTTGACTTGAGGGATGTGGAGTGGGAATGGTGGTGATACGGTCTCTTGGGTTACCTGCATGAATGTGAGTCTTCTACCATCAAATGTTTGACCTGCCCGGACCTAAATCGATCTTTGGGATGGAGATAGTGCAGAAAAAGGGGAAAAGTTGCCATGGGGGAAGACAGATATTTCCATCCCCTGGAAAACAGCACAGAAGAGAAGAGGAAAGGAGTTTGCCTTAATGTGCATCCTCGCTCGACTCCCAGGAGGAACATCAGGGAGAGAATCTGCCTCACTCTTGAATGCCACAAAGCTCATGCCATCCCAAAACTGAGACTGTCTGCAACATAAAGGCCAGGAGCCAAAGTTCCAGGAGCTCTTGGCTCCAAAACTCCAAGGGCCAGGACTCCTTACCCAGCGAGGTGATGGTCTCGTAGTTCTCCAGCATGACATCCATGTAGAGAGTCCTCTGCACAGGGTCGAGCAGGACCCATTGCTCCTTGGTGAAATAACACGGCCACCTCCTCGAAGGTCACGGGCTCCTGCAGCAGCAAGAGATCCCACTTCAATATGTGAGGATGCCACCCCACCATGCAAAAAGAAGAATAAAAATACCTAAATAAGAAGCAAAATAGCTCAAGCCCTTCCCAGGCAACCAAGGAGAGCCGTGGGGCATTCAGGCAAGAAAATGAGGGTGTGCTGGTCCTCCCGGGAGGAGACTCATGCATCTGAAAGTTTTTGCACCCAAAAAACAGGTGTTTCCTTTCCCCAAAGGGCTGATTTTCTGGTGTATGACCATTGTCGCTGAAGAAATGTTGTGTTTTTTGTTTTGTTATGTTTGTTTTTGTTTTCTGCACATCATCTCTCCTTCCATTCTCTTTGCTTCCTGCCCCATCTCCAGAGCAAACCCTCCAAATCCCTCTGCCGAATTGTCTACCTGAGCCAGTTTCATTGTGTCCATCACTTTTTTATTTTTGGTGTTTCAGGACATTTGTCTATTCTGGTGTAAGACACAGCAGCCCATCAGTGCTAGGAATGAGAAAAAAAAAAAAAAAAAAAAAAAGGAAAAAAAGGAAAAAAGAAAGATGCCCATTTTGGGGTGCTAAATTGAAATTTAGAGCTTCATTGTGACTTTTGGACATCTAGGATGAGCCCAGCAGTGGACCTGCCAGCCCTACAACACCAGCAAGCTTGTGAGGAGTGGGGAAGAAGGGGACAAAATGGGGAGGGGATGGGGGGGGGGGAGTCAAGTATCAGGACAACCCAGCTCTGTCCCTTTGTCCTGTCCCCTTGGGGACCTCAGAGCCCTGGGGAGGACACGTCCCCTACTGTCCTCATGCATGAGGGGGGGGCTCACACGGAGTCCAAGGGACGCTGGGGTTTTGGGGGGGCTCATACCCAGCCCGGAGACTGGGGGTCCCTAGCCAGTCCAGGGGGTGCAGGGGGGGACTGCCGGGGGTCCCTACTTACATCGGGAGGGAGTCAGCGGTGAATCCGTATCCTCTCCGAGAGGTGTCGGGGAGCCCATATCCAGCCCCCGGGGGGTCCACACGGGTCGTACCCAGACCAGGGAGGAAGAGGGGTGGGGGGAAGCACCCATCCCGGGGGGGAGCCGTCCCCTCCCCGGTAGCCCCCGCTCCCTGCCGATTACCTGCACACGAGCGGCGGCAGCACCGGAGCCGGCTCCGAGCACCGGAGCTCCCCGGACTCCGCTTTGTTCTCGGTTCCTGCAACCCCAACCCCTTCCTGTGCGTCCCCCGCCTCTTCCCGGGCCGGATCCCGCAGCATCCTGCCCCCCTTTGGACCCCCACCCCCCGGAGCATCCAACCCACGGAGCATCCTGGTCCCGGAGCAAACCGGTCCTGGAGTATCCCGGTCCCGGAGGATCCCCGTCCTGGAGGATCCCGGTCCCGGAGCATCCCAGTTCTGAAGCATCCAACCCACAAAGCATCCAGGTCCCGGAGGATCCCAGTCCTGGAGCATCCCAGATCTGAAGTGTCCAAGCCCAGAGCACCCTGGTCCTGAAGCATCCAACCACCAGAGCATCCTCGCTGCCCCCAGCAACAGCCACGATCTGGCTCAAATCCAGCTCCCAGTGGGTTGTTTTGCCCTGCCAGGTCAAGTTTCCCATTCTTTTTGGAGTAGGCAGCTTCCTTCATAGTGATTTAAAATAATCCCACACAGCATTTCCATGTTCAAAAGTTGATGTAATTAACTACAAGGAGTATTACTAATTCTTTTACACTTAAATCCATGTTAATAATTCATGCTTTCAAAAAAAGCCAAATTTATAAATGGAGTTAGGAACAGAAAACTGGAGCCCACAAATGGGGCTCCCAAACATGAAGCAAATGGCTGTCTGAACTCTGAGTGCCCCCCACCAACTGTCACAGGTCTCAGTGTGAAGGGAGGAACACGGGGCAGACCCTGGCCCCAGTGCCCCTCATTCCTGTGCTGCTCCTGCAGGATCAAGGAGAGGTAAGTAAGGAGCGGCTGGAGAAGGGCAGGAGCCCTCCAGGGCTGGGGACAGGATCTAGGGGGTGCTGTCCCTCAGGCACAGCTGGACACTTCTTGTCCCCAGCCAGAACCAGGGGTGGATGCTCTCCCCATTGAGGGAAGCTCTTTTGAACACGCAGATCTCTTTCCCATTGTCAGCATTGATAAAAGACACCTGCTGCGCTGGATAGTCCAGACAGACCCACATCCTCATTGGAACAGGGGACACAGAGAAGCGTATGGGAGGAAATGTGAGAGACATGAGCTCTCCTTCATCATACTGCAGCGCCCAGATCCCTTCTTCAGGGCTCATGTTGATTCCCACCCTCCTCCTCATTGATGCCCTGGCCACCCCCACAGCCAAATTTGAAACTTTTTCCAACTCGCCTCTCAACTCCACCTTCCAGCAGTGCTTTCCCCCCCTGAACTGCTCACGGCCCAGCACGCAGCAACAACAGTCAAATCTCTCTGGGTGTTGGGCACTGCTTGCCATGTGTGTTCCAAACGCATGCTTGTATTGTCTTCCAACAGAACAAGCTGGGGATGAGCGGTGTCAGGATCCAGGGTCACCTTCACTGCAGGGACAGAAGGAGCCAGGCCATCAGGGGCAGAGCTCAGCCCTGGGCAGGCTTTCCCCAGCTCGGGGCCAGGAGCTGCCCCACGGGGCAGGAGATGGGGCACCTCTTGGCTCCTGAACATGCCCCAGCAAGGGCAGGAGGAGAACCTCAGAGGGCAACCCAATGCACACCTACCTGTATGTGAGGCAGCAGAAAATGTCTCCGTGCTGGAACGAGAGGGGAGAGCTGGTCACAGCCCATGGCTGATGCCCAGTGGGTGTGGGCAGGGTGAGGGGCCAGCCCTGGGCCGCTCTGCCCCAGCTGCCCACTCTCCCCTATGCATTGCCTTGGCATTGCCCTGGGGCCCAAGTGCAGGGATACTCACCCAGCTCTGCAGCTTGATTCCCTGAAAAGGAAAGCAAAATAAATGTCTGATGAGAGGGAAGAGCAGCTCAGCCCATGACTGCTTTCATGGGAAGACCCCAATTACCCTTAGTTAGGCAGATAGACTAGCCAAACATTGCACGTTCTTTTGCTCCAAAGGAAAGAGAAAAGGAAAACATGATCTGATCCCATACCTCTCTCTTTTTTTTTTTTTTTTTTTTTTTTTTTCTGTTTGGAGAGTGAGACTTACCCATCTCTGCAGCTTGTTTCTCTGTAAAACAAAAGAAAAAGGAATTAATGGTCAGAGGGAGCAACTTGTCGCCCATTGCAAAAACCCAAATTCCTATTCTCTCTGGAGTGAGAATACACTGCCTTGCTCTCAAACATAGAAAAGACTAGTCAGCAAAGCACAATTTTGTGGAAAAAGTGACAAGTATGAAGGTTTCAGCACCGTGCAACCAAAATACCAATGGAATGGGGATCGGTATAGAATGGGAACTGAGCACCTTGCTCAGAGATTCAGAAGGACCAGACTAACAAAGAGCAAGGGCCACCTTTGAGCAAGGCTTGTGCACATGGAGCAATAAGGACAGACACTTGTGCAGCTCTCTGCACGGTGCCACCAAAACACAGGGGAAGTGAATGGGGATGGGTGGAGGACGTCCCTGTCTTGGAAGCATCAGTGCAGAGCGGGGCAGCCCCAGCTCGCTCCCCATGTCCCCACTTGATCCCCGTTCCTTTCAGCCGTGTCCTGTGCCCAGGGCAGCCCCAGCCCCAGCACTCCCCACTCCCACCCCAGGCTCCAGCTGCTCTCCAGCACCCCCGACCAGCACACAAGCCCCAGAGCCCACCCAGACCAGGCCCTCCCGGGACACCACTTCCCCAGGGGCTGGGGACAGGGACAGCAAGGACTCACCCAACTCTCGCTCTGTGCCACTGAAAAGCAAAGGCGGAGGAACAGGTGGTGAGCAGAGCAGCTTGGTTGCTGGGTGGGAACATGTGCAGGGGGCTGCGCCTTGCCACCAGCCCCACGCTGCAGCCATGCTCCCTGGCCTCCACCCAAGACGACTAAGGCCTTTGGCATCCCCAGGAGAAACTTCCTTCCTCCTCTACGCCTCCCTGGGCCAGGGACCCACACGAGGTCCCGGCAGAACACCTCCCTCTGCTCCATCCCTGTGCTGCCAGCTTACCTTGCTTTCGAAAGAGAGATAAACACCGAGGCCAATGGACACAGCCAAAAGCACGAGGACCAGAGCCAGAGCCACCATCCAGGGCTGGGCGTTGTTGGAAGAACGGAGCTGAGAAAAGGCACCAGGAGAAGGGGGCTTGTGTTTACACGGCCACAGGTGGAAGAGCAAGACCCAGACTTCTCCCGGCTCAGGAAAAGTGCAGGTGCCAGGAACACCTCACCCCTGGCTGTGCCATTTGTACCTGCGATGTGCATGGATGATTCCCGTTCCTGCTGCAGGCGGCTGCTCCTGACCACACAGGACAAAGGCCCCTCCATGCTCCCGGTCACAATGACGGCGCCTAGTTGGATTTCAAAGAGCCCCTCCTGGTCCTGGGAATGTGTCATGGGAGACCGAGGACAGGTGCTGCCAACGAGCATCCCTCCACAAGCAGCTGCGGCAGCGGGTACCAGCCGGCCGATCGACACAGCACCTGGACACCTCCGGCCGTAGCCCCCGAGGTAGAGGTGGGGGTCAGCGCCTGTGGCTGGGGGAAGGAGAGAGTGTCTGGGGCTTGACTTGGGGAGGGATTGTGTTCCAAGGCAAGACCTCATCTGCTCCCATGCCATCCACAGCCCAGACCAACCATGGCCCCAGGGATTCTCAGACTGGGTGATCCACACACCCACCCTCATCCAAGACAACCCCAGCTGGTGCCAGAACCAGAGAACAGGGATGCACATGTACAATGCCAGTGGCCACAAATCACCCAGGAAACCCAGGTGCTGAGCTTCAGCACCTCCAGGCAGCTTCTCTGCACCAAGCTGTGCTGGTTCAAGAAGCCCCGAGACTTCCAGACAATGTCTCACGTCTCCCCCAGCACAAAAAGCAAAACCCAAAGAGGTCCAGCTGCTCAGAGGTCTCTTCCTGCTCCAGGCACTGTGTTTGGTAGCATCATAGGTACAGATGAAGGGGCTGCTCAGCAGCCTGTGCCCAGTGCCCGTAAACATCATGGGGATGGTCTACACAAACACCAGTGAAAACTAACAACTGAAAAGAAAGAAAAGAAAAGAAAAAAGAAAAGAAAAAAAGAAAAGAAAGAAAAAAAATGGAGAAAAGGAAAAAAAGAAAGATGCCCATTTTGGGGTGCTAAGCTGAAATTTAGAGCTTCATTGTGACTTTTGGACATCTAGGATGAGCCCAGCAGTGGCCCTGCCAGCCCTACAACACCAGCAAGCTTGTGGGGAGTGGGGAAGAAGGGGACAAAATGGGGAGGGGATGGCGGGGGGGGAGTCAAGTATCAGGACAACCCAGCTCTGTCCCTTTGTCCTGTTCCCTTGGGGACCTCAGAGCCCTGGGGAGGACACGTCCCCTACTGTCCTCATGCACGGGGGGTGGGCTCACACGGAGTCCAAGGGATGCTGGGGTTTTGGGGGGCTCATACCCAGCCCGGAGACTGGGGGTCCTAGCCAGTCTGGGGGGTGCAGGGGGGGACTGCCGGGGGTCCCTACTTACACCGGGAGGGAGTCAGCGGTGAATCCGTATCCTCTCCGAGAGGTGTCGGGGAGCCCATATCCAGCCCCCGGGGGGTCCACAGGGGTCATACTCAGACCAGGGAGGAAGGGGGTTGGGGGGAAGCACCCATCCCGGGGGGGAGCCGTCCCCTCCCCGGTAGCCCCCGCTCCCTGCCGATTACCTGCACAGCAGCGGAGGCAGCACCGGAGCCGGCTCCGAGCACCGGAGCTCCCCGGACTCTGCTTTGTTCTCGGTTCCTGCAACCCCAACCCCTTCCTGTGCGTCCCCCGCCTCTTCCCGGGCCGGATCCCGCAGCATCCTGCCCCCCTTAGAACCCCCCCGGAGCATCCAACCCACGGAGCATCCTGGTCCCGGAGCAAACCGGTCCTGGAGCATCCCGGTCCCGGAGGATCCCCGTCCTGGAGGATCCCGGTCCCGGAGCATCCCAGTTCTGAAGCATCCAACCCACAAAGCATCCAGGTCCCGGAGGATCCCGGTCCCGGAGCATCCCAGATCTGAAGTGTCCAAGCCCGGAGCACCCTGGTCCTGAAGCATCCAACCACCAGAGCGTCCTCGCTGCCCCCAGCAACAGCCACGATCTGGCTCAAATCCAGCTCCCAGTGGGTTGTTTTGCCCTGACAGGTCAAGTTTCCCGTTCTTTTTGGAGTAGGCAGCTTCCTTCATAGTGATTTAAAATAATCCCACACAGCATTTCCATGTTCAAAAGTTGATGTAATTAACTACAAGGAGTATTACTAATTCTTTTACACTTAAATCCATGTTAATAATTCATGCTTTCAAAAAAAGCCAAATTTATAAATGGAGTTAGGAACAGAAAACTGGAGCCCACAAATGGGGCTCCCAAACATGAAGCAAATGGCTGTCTGAACTCTGAGTGCCCCCCACCAACTGTCACAGGTCTCAGTGTGAAGGGAGGAACACGGGGCAGCCCCTGGCCCCAGTGCCCCTCATTCCTGTGCTGCTCCTGCAGGATCAAGGAGAGGTGATGCAGGAGTGGCTGGAGAAGGGCAGGAGCCCTCCAGGGCTGGGGACAGGATCTGGGGAATGCTGCTCCTCAGGCACAGCTGGACGCTGCTTGTCCACAGCCAGAACCAGGGGCGGATGCTCTCCCCATTGAAGGAAGCTCCTGTGAACTTGTAGATCTCTTCCCCATCGTCAGCGTTGATAAAAGACACCTGCTGCGCTGAATAGTCCAGACAGACCCAGATCCTCATTGGAACAGGGGACACAGAGAAGCGTATGGGAGGAGATGTGAGAGTCATGATCTGTCCTTCATCGTACTGCAGCGCCCAGATCCCTTCTTCAGGGCTCATGTTGATTCCCCCCTTCCTCTTCACTGATGCCCTGGCCACCCCCACAGCCAAATTTGAATCTTTTTCCAACTCGCCTCTCAACTCCACCTTCCAGCAGTGCTTCCCCTCTCTGAACTCCTCACGGCCCAGCACGCAGCAACAACAGTCAAATCTCTCTGGGTTGTTGGGCACTGCTTGCCATGTAAGTTCCAAATGCATGCTTGTATTGTCTTCCAACAGAACAAGCTGGGGATGAGCAGTGTCAGGATCCAGGGTCACCTTCACTGCAGGGACAGAAGGAGCCAGGCCATCAGGGGTAGAGCTCAGCCCTGGGCAGGCTTTCCCCAGCTCGAGGCCAGAAGCTGCCCCATGGGGCAGGAGATGGGGCACCTCTTGGCTGCTGAACATGCCCCACCAGGGGCAGGAGAAGCACTTCAGAGGGCTACCCAATGCACACCTACCTGTATTATGAGGCAGCAGACACCTTCTCCATGCTGGAAGGAGAGGGGAGAGCTGGTCACAGTCCATGGCCAGTGCCCAGTGGGTGTGGGCAGGGTGAGGGGCCAGCCCTGGGCTGCTCTGTCCCAGCTGCCCACCCTCCCCTGCACATCACCTTGGTGTTGCCCTGGGGCCCAAGCTCTGTGACACTCACCCAGCTCTGCAGCTTGTTTCTCTGAAAAGGAAAGCAAAATAAATATCTGATGAGAGGTAAGAGCAGCTCAGCCCATGGCTGCTTTCATGGGAAGACCCCAATTACCCTTAGTTAGGCAGAAAGACTCACCAAATATTGCACGTTCTTTCGCTGCAAAAGAAAGAGAAAAGGAAAACATGATCAGAGGGCATAGCTTCTGATCCCATAGTTCTCATTTTTATTTTATTTTTGTTCTGTTTGAAGAGTGAGACTTACCCATCTCTGAAGCTTGTTTCTCTGGAAAACAAAAGAAAAATGAATTAATGGTCAGAGGGAGCAACTTGTCACCCCTTGAAAAAAAACAATTTCCTGTTCTCTCTGGAGTGAGAATACACTGCCTTGCTCTCAAACACAGAAAAGATTAGTCAGCAAAGCACAATTTTGTGGAAAAAGTGACAAGTATGAAGGTTTCAGCACTACGCAACCAAATTACTAATGGAATGGGGATCGGTAGAATGGGAACTGAGCACCATGCTCAGAGATTCAGAAGGACCAGACTAACAAGGAGCAAGGGCCACCTTTGAGCAAGGCTTGTGCACGTGGAGCAGTAAGGACAGACACTTGTGCAGCTCTCTGCACCGTGCCACCAAAACACAAGGGGAAGTGAATGGGGATGGGTGGAGGACGTCCCTGTCTTGGAAGCATCAGTGCAGAGCGGGGCAGCCCCACAGCTCGCTCTCCGTCCCCACCTTGATCCCTGTTCCTTTCAGCCATGTCCTGTGCCCAGGGCAGCCCCAGCCCCAGCACTCCCCACTCCCACCCCAGGCTCCAGCTGCTCCTCCAGCACCCCCGAGCCACCAGCACACAAGCCCCCAGAGCCCACCCAGACCAGGCCCTCCCACAGGGACACCACTTCCCCAGGGGCTGGGGGCAGGGACTGCAAGGACTCACCCAGCTCTCGCCTCTGTGCCGCTGAAAAGCAAAGGCGGAGGAACAGGTGGTGAGCAGAGCAGCTTGGTTGCTGGGTGGGAACATGTGCAGGGGGGCTGCGCCTTGCCACCAGCCCCATGCTGCAGCCATGCTCCCTGGCCTCCTACCCAAGAGGCCTCCCACCTAAGGCCTTTGGCATCCCCAGGAGAACATTCCCTTCCTCCCCCTACGTCCCTCCCTGGGCCAGGGCTCAGCCCCGCTCCACACCCAGGGGGGTCCCTGCAGAACACCTCCCTCAACTCCATCCCTGCGCTGCCAGCTTACCTTGCTTTCGAAAGAGATAAACACCGAGGCCAATGGACACAGCCAAAAGCACGAGGACCACAGCCAAAGCCACCTTCCAGGGCTGGGCGTTGTGGAAGAAGGGAGCTGAGAAAAGGCACCAGGAAAAGGGCTGTGTTTCCATGCCCGTGGATGAAAAAGCAAGACCCAGACTTCTGCCAGGTCAGGAGAAGTGTGGGGGCCAGGAACACCTCACCCTGGCTGTGCCATTTGTACCTGCGATGTGCAGGGAAAATTTCCACTCCTGCTGGAGGCGGCTGCTCCTGACCACACAGGACAAGGGCCCCTCCACGTTCCCGGTCACGATGATGGCACCTTTGATTTCAAAGAGCCCCTCCTGGTCCTGGGAATGTGTCTGGGAGACCAAGGGCAGGTGCTGCCCGCGAGCATCCCTCCACAGCAGCTGCGGCAGCGGGTACCAGCCGGCCGATCGACACAGCACCCGGACGCCTCCAGCCTCGTAGCCCCCCAGGGAGAGGTGGGGGTCAGCGCCTGTAGCTGGGGGAAGAGCGTGTGGCTGGGGCTTGACTTGGGGAGAGATTCATTTGAAGGCTTCAGGGGCTCTAAGAATGGGAGGTCCACACACCCACCCTCACCCCAAAAGATCCGGGCTGGTGCTGGATCCAGAGAGCAAGATTGCACAATGCCAGTGGCCACAAATCACCCAGGAAACCCAGGTGCTGAGCTTCAGCACCTCCAGGCAGCTTCCGTGCACCAAGCTGTGCTGGTTCAAGAAGCCCCGAGACTTCCAGACAATGTCTCACATCTCCCCCAGCACAAAAAGCAACACCCAAAAGACGTCCAGCTGCTCAGACGTCTCTTCCCTGCTCCAGGCACTGTGTTTGGTAGCATCATAGGCACAGATGAAGGGGCTGCTCAGCAGCCTGTGCCCAGTGCCCTTACACCATCATGGGGATGGTCTACACAAACACCAGTGAAAACTAACAACTATATCCTACCTATGGATCTCTCTTCCCAAATACTACCTCCATTTGCATGTCCATATTCCATGCTGTTTAATAGCTGAGATAGGAAAAAGAAACTTAAATTCTCCCCTGGAATTCCTGGTGTATTACCCCAGCCACAAACCTGACACCTCCAGATCCACTGTTGCTTCATCATAAGCATCAGCATTTTTCACAGTGCAGACATACTGGCCATCATCTGAGGGTCTCAGCCCCGTGATTCGCAAGTCCAGGCTTCCAGCAGAGAGACCATCTCTGGCCAGCTCTGTCCTCCCGGCATATGCCCGCATCTGCTCCCCGTACAGGTCCTCTCCATTGCGGTAGTGGTGCACTGTCTCAGAGAACTCATCCCGGATCCACCTGACCTCCAAACTGTGAGCATCGCGTTGAGGGGACAAGTGGCAGGGCAGCACGACATCCTGTCCCACGGTGGCAGTGACAGGCTGGCCTGGTCCCTCCACTCTGAGCTGGGCTTTGCAATGGAGAAGGGCACAGAGAGGAGGTGAGATTTTGCCATCGTAAATTTAGGGTCAGTGACTGTCAAAGGGTGAGCTGTGCGTGAGTTGGTGCGTGCTGCGTCCCCCGTGTCCCATGGGAAACCACCGGCGAAAGAGGAGAGGGAGAGGGAGGGCATGCAGGAGAAAGAGGTGTGCTGGGAGTGGGAGCCCTCTCTGTAGCATTTGGGAAGGAGAAGAAGAGCCAAAAATGGCAGCCGAGGCAGCGCCCATATTGTGTGAAAGAACCAAAGGGAAAGTGAAACCCAGACAGGGAAAGAAGTGGGCTCAGGTCCACCCTGCCTCACAGCCACCCTCCTGCCCCACATCATCATGTCTGCCTGGCCCAGAGGGGAGAGCCCCCAGCAGCCCCTCAGGATCCTACCTGAGCCCAGCCGGAGAAGGAGCAGAGTGACAAGGGAAGTCAGGAGGCCCCTGGCATGGCCAATGAAGCTGGGGTGGCCGCAGCCACAGGGGAGCCCCATCTGTGCTGTAGCGGGAGCAGGAGCTAAGGGCAGAAGCTGGAGCAGAAGAGAGAGGGGACCGAGGGGCTGCAGGCTCCGCAGGCAGATGGGGAAGGAGTCACCTTGGGCCCGGACACAAATAGCCACAGCCAGCAGCACCTTGGGCAAGGCACAGAGCCTGTGCTTATCACGGGCAGGGGGACACAGCAGGCAGCCCCCAGGGGTTGTTCTCCAAGGAAGCCCCACCGACAGAGACGTCCCTCTCTGCACCCAGCAGAGCTGCAGGAAACACAGGGGTATGCCAAAATTCCAGATCTCCTACGCAGTTCCGGACAACAGTAAAACTCTGGGAGGAGCTTGGACATTTGGGGGCTGGGAGCAAGAGGCTCCAGAGCGGAGTGGGATCAGAGGCTGCAGGGAAAGTGGCACAGCTGTGTGCTGAGACAGGGAACAAGGGAAAGCACGTCTATATTGCAGGTTTCAGCCATCCCAGGGATTATGTTGTATATCAACCTCAAGGATAGGACTGACCAAGGGAGTACGAGGACAGGATGACCCTAAAAGATTGAGATGGGGAACGTGGTAAAGGATGTTGATTCTGTAGTTCGTAGCTAACACAATTGTATGTGAACCACAAGGAGAGGGTGACCCCAAGGATAAGGGTGTCAAAGACTGCATGCATAGATAATGAAGCCAGCAAGAACTGGCTTGACTGCTGAAGTCTGTAAAAGAAAGGAAAGATCAGAAGTTTAGCAGTGAGGAAGGCTTCTGTCCTACATCAAAAGACTAGCAGAGTACACTGGACAACCGCCTGAGGACTCTAGTGTGCATGCAGATAGGGGTGGAAACCTATGTTAATGATTTACGGAGACCTGATGAATATGTAAGAGACTTGCAGGAAATGAAATGAATATGCATATATCCCATCAATATAAACACTCTGGCAGTAAGTATTGGTGTGCAAGCTAGGAGGAGCGATCCCCCTTGCACTCAGCACTGCAATAAACATACCTGCTTTATAACTCTTTAGGAGTTGAGAAGTTTGTTTTCTGCACCTCAGTGCTAAGTGCCGTACTGCCACCTTTTGCCCAGAGTGGTGCAGGCAAAGAACCAGCCCCACTCCTGGCTCTGCCCATCGCAGAGGAGGAAGAAATGGGCAGACCATTTGCCCTCTGGCAAGAGAAGCCCTGTTGCAGCAGGGTGGGGGCTTGGGCATGGAAGTGGCTTCCGAGGACCAGAGGGGCAGCTTCTGCATGCAGCCAGGATGATGACATGGATGACCTGTTCTTGAAGGAACTAAGGCATGCCTCCGGATCCGCTGCCCTTGTCATTAGGGGGAAAGATTCAAATGGCCAAAGCTCAATTAGAGTTGAAGCTGGACAATACTGTGGGGGACAACAAAAAGGACTTAAAAAAATAACTAAACAGCGAAAATAGGACCGGAGAAGCCATTGGTCCATTACTTGATGGGGATGGTCTCCTCACAAACAGGGACATTGACAATACAGAGATGTTTAATGCTTTCTTTGCCTTTGTCTTCAACACTGACAATGGGCACTGGGACCCCAGGTGCCCTGAGCTGGAGGACCGTGAGAGCAGGAATGATAAACTCTCAGCAAATGCTGAATTAGTGTGGGATTTGCTCCTAGAGGTGGATACCATAGGGCCTGACTCTGGGATTCATCCCAGAGTACTAAAAGAAATGGCTGATGTCATTATGAAATAAATTGTTTTTGAAATATCCTTGGGAATCTGGAGAGGTCCCAGTGACTGGAAGCTGCCAAACGTTGCACCAGTTACCAAGAAGGGCAGCAAAGGAGGCCCTGGGAATTACAGGGCTGTCATTCTCACAGCAGTTGATGGTAAAGTTAGGGAGATTGCTCTGGGAGTGAGTGAAAAACACCTGAGGGACAATGCGGTCACAGCACACGTGGTGAGGAGAAAGTGGTGAGGAGAAAGTCCTATTTACCAAACTCAATTTCTTTTTATGACAAGGTCAGCCTCCTAGTTGGCCAAGAAGAGCCATCTGAGATGATTTTTTGGATTTCAGTCAAGATTAAAACATTGTTTCCGATCATACCCAGCCGGACCTAATGTCCAGCACAGACCCAGACAAATGCACGGTATGCTGGGTCAACAATTGTCTGACAGGTCAGGCTCTGAGTGTTCTGCTAAACAGGGTGATATTAGGCTGGTGGCCAGTCACGAGTGGGGCTCCATTTTGGGGCCAGGTCTCGTCAGTGGCAGCCCAAAGGGCCAAGCATGCCCTGGGGTGCCTCAGGCACGGCACTGCTGGCCGGCCGAGGGAAGGGATCGTCCCGCTATGCTTGGACTGCTGTGGCCTCGCCTCGAGCACTGCGTGCAGCTGTGAGCACCACAGCAGACGAAGGGCGTGAAACTGTGCAAGAACCTCCAAGGGAGGGCTACGAGGACGGCGAAGGCTCTGCAGGGCAAGGCGTGTGAGGAGCAGCTGAAGACGCTTGGTTTCTTGAGCCCAGAGCAGAGGAGACACAGGGGAGGCCTCATGGCAGCCCTCAACTTCCTAATGAGGGCAGTGGAGGGGCAAGCTCCAGTCTCTGCTCTCTGGGGCCAGTGACAGGGCCTGAGGGAACGGCATGGAGCTGCCAACTGGACGCAGCTGCCCTCGCAAGGGTGGCTGATGAGGCATAGGCAGAGCCAGTAGCGCCCCTTCCCCAGCCGTTCGAGAGCAGCCCCTGAGGAGCGCAGTGAACAGGACAGGCAAAGAGGGTGTACCGCGTCAGAAGGGCATGGTGCGGCAGGTCGTGCAGGCAGGGTGAGTAGGTGGGGCGCTCTTACTGCTCTTTTGCAGCGGTCTTTCCCATCAGTACTTGTAACCTGCTTGCAAAATGCCTGGCCATGGTATCAAACAGGCAGAAAACCATGGTTTCTGCATCTCTTGCAGCCTCTCCAGCCGCAGTCACTGATGTAGCTACTCAAACGGAGGGCTTGGGGAAACACACTGCCGTCCAGGTCTTGGAGAGGCAGGTGACCTGTTCTCTAAAAACACCAGTGAAAGGACCAGCGGGAATGGCGTTAAGCAGTGGAAGTTTAGGCTGGACATCAGGAAGAGGTTCTTCATGAAGGGGGTGGTTGCATACTGGAACAGGCTCCTCAGGGATCAGTCACTGCACCAATCCTGCCTGAATTTAAAAAGTGATTGGACTGTGCACTTAGTCACAGGGTCTAAACTTTTGGGTAGACCTGTGGGGTGCCACGAGTTGGACGTGATGATCCTTATGGGTCCCTTCCAACTCGGGATATTCAATTATTCTATGATGTTATGAAATTGGCTGGAAAGCGGTAAAGATGAAATGGATCTAGGGGTTTTGCTCAATGCCCACCTGAGGATCTAGGGGTTTTGCTCAACGCCCACCTGAACATGAGCCAGGAGTGTGCCCAAGTGGCCAAGAAGGCCAACGACATCCTGGCCTGTATCAGACATAGCATGGCCAGTAGGACCAGAGAGGTCATTGTCCCCCTCTACATTGCCCTGGAGAGGCTGAACCCGGAGAACTGTGTTCAATTTTGGAGCCCTCACTAAAAGAAGAGCATCAAGGCCCTGCAGTGTGTCCAGAGAAGTGCTACAAAACTGGTGAAGGGCCTGGAACACAATTCCAACAAGGGGCGCCTGAGGGAACTGGGGTCTTTTAGTCCGGAGACAGCTCAGAGGAGACCTTATGGCTCTCTACAACTACCTGAAAGGAAGCTGTGGGAGCTGGGGGCAGATAACTAGCAATAGAACAAGAGGGAATGGCCTCAAGTTGTGCCGGGGGAGTTTAGGCTGGAAATGTGGAGAAATTTGTTCTCAGAAAGAGTGGTTTGGCATTGGAACGGGTTGCCAAGGGAAGTGGTTGAGTCACCATTAGTGGAGGTCTTTAAAAGACGTTTAGATGTAGAACTTAGGGATATGGTTTAGTGGAGGACTTTTTAGTGTTAGGTCAGAGGTTGGACTCAATGATCTAGAGGTCTCTTCCAACCTAGAAATTCTGTGATTCTGTGATTCCTCCTAGCTTTGACTAACAGCACTAACACAAAGGGGACAGTCTGCTGCAAGACACCTTCTCAGGCAGCAAGGCCTCAGGACAGAAAGCACCCAAGAAATGCCACTGCCAGACTCCATCTTCCTCTGCAAAAATTTATTTTCCACAGTCCTGCTGTGCCTTGATGTGCTCCAAAAGAGGGAACAAAGAGTCCCCTCAGGCTGCTCAGGCTCAGCACCAGGCACAGAGCAAGGATCAACCCCAACCTAGGAGGCAAAGGTGGCCTGCAATGGCCCGCAGCACACGGTGACCACATCCCTTGCCCTGGGGTCTGCAAGCAGTGCAAGCAGAGGGGAGAGGAGCGTGGAGAGCTGCTGCAGCCCCTGTGCTGCCCACTGGGGCTCAGAGGCAGGGTGAGACCCGTGGGTGCCAGCAGGGCTTGTGCCCAAGCACCGGAGCCCTGTGCAGGGCAAAGCCCAAAGCACCACAGCTCACCGAGCTCCACTTTGTTTGAGGTTCCCACAGACCCAGTCCTTTCCTGTGCTTTTCCCTGTCCTTCATCGGATGGATTCCACAGCATCCTGCCTCTCCCAAGCCCTCCCACAGCATCCAACTCAGAAAGCATCCCAGCCCCGCAGCATCCTGATCCCATAGCATCCAACCATGAGAACAGCTTCGCTGACCCCCATTGCAGCCATACTCTGGCTCAAACCCAGCTTCCACTGGACTTTTCTGCCCTGTCACTTCAAGTTTCCTGTTCTTTTAGGGGTATGCGGCTTCCTTCAATAATGATTTAAAATATTCACACGCTGGGATTTTCCATGTTCAGAACTTGATTTATTCATTTACAAGGAGTGTTACTAATTCTTTTACATCTAAATTCCTGCTATATACTTCATGATTTCATACCCAAAGCCAAATTCATCACTGGAGTTAGAAACATGGTTCCCAAAAACAAAGTAAAAGGGCTGCCTGAAGTCAGTACCCCCATCAGCTATGGCAGGTCTCAGCGTGAAGGGAGAAACACAGGGCAGCCCCTTGCCCCACTGCCCCTCATTCCTGCAGTGCTCCTGCAGGATGAAGGAGAGGTGATGCAGGAGTGGCTGGAGAATCACAGGAGCTCCCCAGGTCTGAGGACACGGTCTACAGGGTGTTATCCCTCAGGCACAGCTGGGCATTCGTCCCCAGCCAGAACCAGGGGCGCATGCTCTCCCCTTTGAGGAAGACATCTGTGAAAATGAAGATCTCGACCCCATTGTCAGCATTGATAAAGGACACCTGCCCCTGGGTAAAGTCCAGACAGACCCAGATCCTTGTAGGGACAGGGGACAGGGACAAGGGGGTGTGAGGAGATGTGAGAGACATGAGCTGCCCCTCCTTGTACTGCACAGCCCAGATCCCTTCTTCAGGGCTCATGTTGATCTCCCCCTTCCTCTTCACCGATGCCCTGGCCACCCCCACAGCCAAACTTGAATACTTTCCCTTCTCCCCCTCTACCTCCACCTCCCAGCAGTGCCTCCCCTCTCTGAACTCGTCACGGCCCAGAACGCAGCAACTAGTGTCAAATCTCTCCGGGGCTTTGGGCACCTGCTGCCATTTACTTTGCCATCTCACACTGCTCTTGTCCTGAGACAGGACAAGCATGGGATGAGCCGTGCGTGGATCCAGGGTCACCTTCACTGCAGGGACAGAAGGAGCCAGGCCATCAGGGGCAGAGCTCAGCCCTGGGCAGGCTTTCCCCAGCTCGGGGCCAGGAGCTGCCCCACGGGGCAGGAGATGGGGCACCTCTTGGCTCCTGAACATGCCCCAGCAAGGGCAGGAGAAGCATGACAGAGGGCAACCCAGTGCACACCTACCTGTATTATGAGACAGCAGAAAATTTCTCCGTGCTGGAAGGAGAGGGGAGAGCTGGTCACAGCCCATGGCTGGTGCCCAGTGGTTGTGGGTTTTGTGAGGTGTCAGCCCTGGGCTGCTCTGTCCCAGCTGCCCACCCTCCCCTGCACATTGCCTTGACATTGCCCTTGGGCTCAAGCTCAGGAACACTCACCCTGCCCTGCAGCTTGTTCCTCTGGAAAAAGAAGCAAAAGCAATATCTGATGAGAGGGGAGAGCTTCTCGCCCCAAGCCTGAACCCCAAACTGCTTTGTTATGGTGCAGGATACTCACTGAGCTTTGCATCTTTTTTATCTGTCAAACAAAAGGGAAAGGAAAGCATGACAGAAAAGGACATCTTGCCTTCTCAAAATGCCCACTGGTAGAACCCAAAGGCCTTCATTTGGGGGAGGGATGGGCACTCACCCATCTCTGCAGTTAGATCCTCTGCAAAAGAAAAGCAAAAATACTTGGTGAGAGAGTACAGATTCTCATTACATGACAAGAACTCATTTTCTTTGGGTTTGGGGCCAGAGACTCACTCAGTCTTGCAGATTGGCGCTCTAGAAATGAGAAGAAAATCATGGTGAGAGGGAACAGCCTCCCATACAATTGCTATGACCCCAAATACTTTCAGATGCTGATGGAGACTTACCGGCCTTTTGACGGTATACATCTGGAAAAGAAAGAGAAAAGCAACGCATGATCAGAGGGGAAAGCTTCTCCTCCCATAGCTCCCATTGGAAGACATGAAGTTCTTTCCGTTAGGGAGGGACACTCACCCCGCTCTGCTTTCAGTTCCGCTGCAAAAGGAAAGCAAAGGCAATGCATGACCAGAGGGGACAGCTTCTTGTCATATGCCCTCTCCCATGGCTACACCCCCTTATTTATTCTTCTAGGAAGTGGCCAAATATAACTTTGCTCCCAAAGGAGGGACCAGAGTAATAGTGAATGAAGTTCATCTCTGAGCATGGCTTGTGCAAGCAGAACAACCAGCACAGAAACTTGTGCAGCTTTCAGTACGATGCCAACAAAAGACAACTGGAAATGAATGGGGATGTATAGGGGACGTCCCTGTCCTGGAAGCATCAGTGCCGAGTGGGGCAAACCCGCAGCTCGCTCCCCGTCCCCACCTTGATCCCCGTTCCTTTCAGCCATCCCGGCCATGTCCCATCCCCAGGGCAGCCCCGCAGTCCCCACTCCCCCATCAGGGTGAGAGTCCAGCCCTGGGCTGCTCTGTCCCAGTTGCCTACCCTCCCTTGAACATCGACTACATGTTGCTGAGGACACTCACCCAGCTCTGCTTCTTTTTCCTCTGAAGAAAAATAAAAAAGAGGGGGAGAGAAAAGAAATGCCTGATGAGAGGGGAGAGCTTCTCATTCTATTGCTGGACCCCATACTCTTTGTTGTGGTGCAGGATACTCACCGAGTTCTTTATCCTTCATCACTGTCAAACAACAGCAAAAAGAATGCATGATAGAAAGGGACAACTTCTCATCCCAGACTAACCACCAATAGGGCCCAAATTCCTTCATTTTGGGGAGGGACACTCACCCAGCTTTTTATCTTTTTGTGCTGGAAAAGAAAGGTAAAAGCAATGCATGATCAGAGGGGACAGCTTCTCGTCATATGCCTGCTCCCATGGCTACGCCCCCAAATTTATTCTTCTAGGAAGTGGCCAAATATAACTTTGCTCCCAAAGGAGGGACCAGACTAATAGTGAATGAAGTTCATCTGTGAGCATGGTTTGTGCAAGCAGCACACAATCTTGTGCAGCTTTCAGTACGATGCCAACAAAAGAGAGGTGGAAGTGAATGGGGATGGGTGGAGGACGTCCCTGTCCCGGAAGCGTCAGTGCCGAGCGGGGCAGCTCCGCAGCTTGCTCCCCGTCCCCACCTTGATCCCCGTTCCTTTCAGTCATCCAGGCCATGTTCTTTCCCCAGGGCAGCCTCGCACTCCCCACTCCCCCATCAGGGTGAGGGGCCCGCCCAGGGCTGCTCTGTCCCAGTTGCCCACCCTCCCCTGAACATCACCTTTCTGTTGCCGAGGACACTCACCCAGCTCTGCTTCTTTTTCCTCTGAAGAAAAATGAAAAAGAGGGGGAGAGAAAAGAAATGTCTGATGAGAGGGGAAAGCTTCTCATTCCATTGCTGGACCCCATAGGATTTTGTTGTGGTGCAGGATACTCACTGAGTTCTTTATCCTTCCTCACTGTCAAACAAAAGCAAAAAGAATGCATGATAGAAAGGGACAACTTCCCATCCCACACTGCCCACCAATAGGGCCCAAATTCCTTCATTTTGGGGAGGGACACTCACACAGATCTGCAGTTAGATCCTCTGCATAAGAAAAGCAAAAATACTTGGTGAGAGAGTACAGATTCTCATTACATGATGAGAACCCATTTTCTTTGGGTTCAGGGGCAGAGACTCACTCAGTCTTGCAGATTGCTGCACTGCAAATGAGAAGAGAATTGGCATGCTGAGAGGGAACAGCTTCTCATCACATTGCAACACCTCAAATCCCTTCAGATTTTGATGGAGACTTACCATCCTTTGCACGGTATTCATCTGGAAAAGAAAGAGAAAATCCTTGGAGTGCTCTGTCCCAGCTGCCCACCCTCCCCTAAATATCACCTTGGCCTTGTCCTGGGGCCCAAGCACATGGACACTCACCCAGCAGTGCAGCTTGTTCCTCTGAAAAAGAAAGAAAGTAATGCATGATCAGAGGGCAGTGTTGCTCAGCCCATGTTAGATCATGAACACATCCCATGACTGGGAAAATACTGCCTTGCTCCAAGTGGGACCAAACAGTCATTTTGGCCCAGCTTTGTACAAGGCTCTCGTAGATGGAACTGTAAGGACAGACTCTTGGGCAGCTCTCTGCACCGTGCCCAAGCTCAGGGATACTCACCCAGTTTGGCAGCCAGTTCCACTGGAAAAGAAAGAGAAAAGCAGTTCATGAGGAGGAAGGAGAGATTCTTTGACCCTTTGAGCCCTGCAGCTCGCTCCCCGTCCCCACCTTGATCCCCGTTCCTTTCAGCCATCCTGGCTGTGTCCCGTGCCCAGGGCAGCCCCAGCCCCAGCACTCCCCACTCCCACCCCAGGCTCCAGCTGCTCCTCCAGCACCCCCGAGCCACCAGCACACAAGCCCCCAGAGCCCACCCAGACCAGGCCCTCCCGCAGGGACACCACTTCCCCAGGGGCTGGGGGCAGGGACTGCAAGGACTCACCCAGCTCTCGTCTCTGTGCCGCTGAAAAGCAAAGGCGGAGGAAGAGGTGGTGAGCAGAGCAGCTTGGTTGCTGGGTGGGAACATGTGCAGGGGGGCTGCGCCTTGCCACCAGCCCCACGCTGCAGCCATGTTCCCTGGCCTCCCACCCAAGACGATCCTAAGGCCTTTGGCATCCCCAGGAGAACATTCCCTTCCTCCTCCTACGCACCTCCCTGGGCCAGGGCTCAGCCCCGCTCCAGACCCAGGGGGGTCCCTGCAGAACACCTCCCTCCGCTCCATCCCTGCGCTGCCAGCTTACCTTGCTTTCGATAGAGATAAACACCAAAGCGAATGGTTGCAGCTGATACCACGAGGACCAGAGCCACCTTGTAGGGCCTGTTTTTTTCGAAGAAGGGAGCTGTCAAAAGGCACCAAGAAAAGGACTGTATTTCCATGCCCGGAGGTGGAAAAGCAAGACTCAGACTTCACCCGGCCCGGGGCCAGGAACACCTCACGCTGGCTGTGCCATTTTTACCTGCGGTATGCAGGGATGATGCCCACTCCTTCAGGAAGCGGCTGCTCCTGACCATGCAGGACAAGGACAAGGGCCACTCCACACTCCAGGTCATGATGATGGCACCTTGGATTTCATAGAATCTTAGAATCATACAATAATATATTGTCTTGGGCTGGAACAGACCTGAAGGACCACCTAGTTTCACCCCCCCCCCCCCCCGCCCCGCCGCCTACATAGGCAGGGATGCCACCCACTCAATCAGCTCGCTCTGGGCCTCATCTACCCTGGTCCTGAACACCTCCAGGGATGGGGCATCCACAGCCTCTCTGGGAAACCTGTTTCAATGCCTAACCACCCTCTGAATGAAGAATTTCATCCTAAACACTAACCTAAATCTCCCCTCATTCAGTTTAAAACTATTCCCCCTTGTTCTGCCATTATCTGATTGGGCAAAAAGTGTCTCTCCATCTTCTTTATAAGTCCCTTTTAAGTACTGAAACAGCCCAATGAGGTCACCCTGGAGCTTTCGCTTCTGTAGGCTGAACATCCCCAGCTCTCACAGCCTTTCTTTGTAGGAGAGATGCTCCAGCCCCTTGATCATCTTCGTGGCCCTCCCCTGAACCTGTTCTAAGAGCTACACATCCTGCTTGTGCTGGGGGCTCCAGACCTGGACACAATACTCCAGGTGAGGCCTCATGAGAGCAGAGCAGAGGGGGCCAATCCCCTCCCTCGAGCTGCTCACATTCCTCCGTTGATGCAACCCAGGATGCAGTTGGCTTTCTGGGCTGGAAACACACACTGCCAGCTCATGTCGAGCTTTTTATTCATCAGGACCCCACGTCCTTCTCTGCAGAGCTGCTCTCAATGAGTTCCTCACCTAGTCTGTACTCATGTCTGGGATTGCCTCAGCCCAGGTGCAGCAACTTGCACTTGGCCTTGTTGAACCTCATTTGGTTCACATAGGCCCACTTCTCAAGCTTATCCAGGACCCTTTGGATGACATCCCTTCCTTCCATAGTATCCACTGCACCACTCAGCATGGTGTCATCTGCAAGATGCGTTTCAAAGAGTCCCTTCTGGTCCTGGGAATGTGTCTGGGAGACCGAGGGCAGGTGCTGCCCACGAGCATCCCTCCACAGCAGCTGCGGCAGCGGGTACCAGCCGGCCGATTGACACAGCACCTGGACACCTCCGTCCTCGTAGCCCCCCAGGGAGAGGTGGGGGTCAGCGCCTGTGGCTGGGGGAAGAGCGCGTGGCTGGGGCTTGACTTGGGGAGGGATTCTTTTGAAGGCAAAGACCCCATCTGCTCCCGTGCCAACACAGCCCAGCCCAACCATAGCCCCAGGGGCTCTGAGACCAGGCACTTCAGGCAACCATCCTCACCCCAAAACCACTCCGGCTGGTGCTGGAACCAGAAAACAGGGCTGCACAATGCCAGTGGCCCCAAATAGTCCAGAAAACCCAGGTGCCAAGCTTCAGCACCTCCAGGCAGCTTCTCTGCACCAAGCTGTGCTGGTTCAAGAAGCCCTGAGACTTCCAGACAATGTCTCAGGTCTCCCCCAGCATGAAAAGTAAAATCAAGCAGAGGTCCAGAAGCTCAGAGGCCTCTTCCCTGCTCCAGGCATTTCATTTGGTCCCATGGTTGACACATCTGAAGGAGCTGCTCAGCAGCCTGTGCCCAGTGCCTTCAGAACATCATGGGGATGGAGTTCAAAGAAGCCACTGAAACTGAATAAAACCATATGTCCATGCCACTCTTTCTCCATAAAAAGCCTGCAAAGTTACAGGTGTGCTCCTTGCCTGACAAGTGCTCACATACTGAGGAGGTGAAGACATATAAGACTCAACTCTTTGAAAGGCCTCATCCATGACCATGAGAATGGGCAGAGGCTTGTGCAGACACACAAACCCAGGGACACCTATACCATCTGCTTGAAGCATCACCCCAGCCACTTATCTGACACCTCCAGATCCACGGTAGCTTCATCATAAGCATCAGCATTTTGTATGATGCACACATACTGGCCATCATCAGAGGGTCTCAGCCCCGTGATTTGCAAGTCCAGGCTTCCAGCAGAGAGACCATCTCTGGCCAGCTCTGTCCTCCCGGCATATGCCCCCATCTGCTCCCCGTACAGGTCCTCTCTATTGCGGTAGTGGTGCACTGTCTCAGAGAACTTGTCCCGGATCCACCTGACCTCCAAGCTGCGAGCATCACATTGAGGGGACAAGTGGCAGGGCAGCACGACATCCTGCCCCACGGTGGCAGTGAGAGGGTGGCCTGGTCCCTCCACTCTGAGCTGGGCTGGGCAATGGAGAAGGGCACAGAGAAGTGGTGAGATTTTGCCATTGTAAATTTAGGGGCAATGAGTGACAAAGGGCGAGCTGTGCATGAGATGGTGCATGCTGTGTCCTCCATGTCCCATGGGAAATCACCAGGGAAACGAGAGGGAGGGGGAGGATGTGCAGGAGAAGGAGGTGTGCTGAGAGTGGGAGTCCTCTCTGCAGCATTCAGGCAGGAGAAGAAGAGCCAAAAAGGCAACCGAGGCAGTGCCCATATTGTGTGAAAGAACGAAAGTGAAAGTGAAAACCAGACAGGGAAAGAAGTGGGCTCGGGTCACCCCTGCCCCATGGCTGCTCCCCTACTTCATGGCAGCACATTTCCCAGCCCCCAGCAGCCCCGCAGGATCCTACCTGAGCCCAGCCGGAGGAGGAGCAAAGTGATGAGGGAAGTCAGGAGTCCCCTGGCATGGCGGCTGAGGCTGGGGAGGCTGCAGCCCTAGGGAAGCCCCATGTGTGCTGCAGCAGGAGCAGGAGCTGGGGGCAAAAACAAAAGAAGACAGAGGGGACCGAGTGGCTGCAGGCACCACAGGCAGATGGGGAAGGAGTCCCCCTAGGCCCGGGCACAAATAGCCACAGCCAGGAGCACCTTGGGCAGGGCGCAGAGCCTGCGCTTTTATCACGGGCTGGGGGACACAGCAGGCAACCCCCAGGGGTTCTTCTCCAAAGGAGCCCCACCAAGATAGACGTCCCTCACGGCACCCAGCAGAGCTGCAGAAAGAACAAGGCTACGCCCAACTTTCCTAACCTTTGCCCAACTCCTGGCAGCAGTAACCCTCTGGGAGCAATTTTCCCCCTTAGTTGATTGGAGCAAATGGCTCCAGAGCAGAGAGGGATTGGAGGCTGCAGGGTATGGGGAGCAACTGGGTGCGAAGTCCAGTGCTGCCACAGTTTACTTAACGTTGTGTGGGCAAAGAGCAAGCTCTGCTCCTGGCTCCAATTAAGTAGTCATGGTAGAAGGTCAGCTCACATTGGCAGGGATCTTTTTCTAGAGCTTAGGTGGGTAATGAATCTTTACATCCTCCTGAAGGGAGGTCAGGCAATGTGGGAGGGCTACAGAGAAAAGGTTTGTCTTTATAAGCAAAATATTTGTACAGCCAAAGGTGACTTCATGTTGAACCTGAACAGTACTGTGATGGGTATTGAAATGGACTTAGAAAAATATTTTATCTCCAAAAGTAGGACCAGAAAAAACATTGGTCTGTTAACTGATGGGGATGGTGTCCTCACAAACAAGGACATTGACAACGCAGAGATGTTTAACGCTTTCTTTGCCTTTCTCTTCAACACTGACAATGGGCACTGGGACCTGAGGTGCCATGTGTTGGAGTGTCGTGACTGTGGGAATGATAAACTCCCAGCCAACCCTAAATTTTTGTGGGATTTGCTTCTACATGTGGATGCATACAAGACTGTAGGGCCGTATAGGATTAATCCTAGAGTACTCAGAGAACTGGAAGATGTCATCAGGAAATCTAAATTGTTTTTGAAATATCCTTCGGAATCTGGAGAGGTCATAGAATCATAGAGTATCCTGAGTTGGAAGGGACCCATAAGGATCATCAAGTCCAACTGCTGGCACCACACAGGTATGCCCAGAAGTTTATACCATGTGGCTAAGTGCACAGTCCAATCACTTCTTAAATTCAGGCAGGATTGGTGCAGTGACTGCTTCCCTGGGGAGCCTGTTCCAGTGTGCAACCACCCCCTTCATGAAGAACCTCTTCCTGATGTCCAGCCTAAACTTCCCCTGCTTAACGCCGTTCCCGCGGGTCCTATCACTGTTGTCTACAGAGAACAGGTCACCTGCCTCTCCAAGATCTGGACAGCGGTGTGTTTCCCCAAGCCCTCCGTTTGAGTAGCTACATCTACACGATGGCCTAGTGGGTGACATTGGTGGTAGAGGGATTGTTGGACCAGATGACCTTGGAGGTCTTTTCCAACTTGAATCTGATCAGCTGAACTTCTCTGATCAGCTGAAAGCTGAGACCACCTGCTGCCTCTGGATGTGGAGATTCCAAGAGCCTGAAGCCTCCTGCGGGCACAGCCTCTGCAGAGCCTGTGTGATGGGAGGCTGGCAGCTCTTTGGGTGTCCCCAAGGGCAGTGCAATGATCCAGCTGAGACAAGTGGGTACCAGGCACCAGCTAGGGAAGTGGGGCAGCTGGAGCTTTGGTTCCTCCTAGCTTTGACTAACAGGACCAACACCAAGGAGCCGGTCTGCTGCAAGACACCTTCCCAGGCAGCAAAGCCTCAGGACAGAAAGCACGCAGCAAATGCCACTGCCAGACTCCATCTTCCTGTGCAAAACTTCATTTGCCACAGTCTTGCTACTACATCTTGCATGGATGTTCTCCAGAGGAGGGAACAAAGAGTTCCCTCAGGCTGCAAGAGTCCCTACAGGAGTCCTGTGCAGGGCAAAGCCCAAAGCACCAGAGCTCCCCGAACTCCACCATGTTCGAGGTTCCCACAGACCCAGTCCTTTCCTGTGCTTTTCCCTGTGCTTCATGGGACGGATTCCACAGCATCCTGCCTCCCCCAAGCCCTCCCACAGCATCCAACTCAGAAAGCATCCCAGCCCCACAGCATCCTGGTCCCAGAGCTCCCAACCACGAGAACATCTTCACTGCCCCCCATTGTAGCCATGCGCTGGCTCAAATCCAGCTTCCACTGGACTTTTCTGCCCTGCCACTTCAAGTTTCCTGTTCTTTTGGGGGTATGCAGCTTCCTTCAGTAATGATTTAAAATATTCACACGCTGAGATTTTCCATGTTCAGAAGTTGATTTATTCATTTACAAGGAGTATTACTAATTCTTTTACATCTAAATCCATGCTATATACTTTATGCTTTCACACCCAAAGCCAAATTAATCACTGGAGTTAGAAGTAGGTTTCCCAAAAACGAAGTAAAAGGGCTGCCTGAAGTCAGTACTCCCCACCATCTGCCGCAGGTCTCAGCGTGTTGTCCCTCAGGCACAGCTGGGCATTCATCCCCAGCCAGAACCAGGGGCGCATGGTCTCCCCTTTCAGGAAGACTTCTGTGAAAGTGAAGATCTCGACCCGATTGTCAGGGTTTATAAAAGACACCTGCCCCTGGGTACAGTCAAGACAGACCCAGATCCTCGTGGGGACAGGGGACAGGGACAAGTGGGTGGGAGAAGATGTGAGAGACGTGAGCTGCCCCTCCTTGTACTGCACAGCCCAGATCCCTTCTTCAGGGCTCATGTTGATCTCCCCCTTCCTCTTCACCGATGCCCTGGCCACCCCCACAGCCAAACTTGAACACTTTCCCTTCTCCTCCGCCACCTCCACCTCCCAGAAGTGCCTCCCCTGTCTGAACTCCTCACGACCCAGAACGCAGCAGCTAGTGTCAAATCTCTCCAGGGTGTTGGGCACCTTCTGCCATTTACTTTCCCATCTCACACTGCTGTTGTCCTGAGACACGACAAGCATGGAATGAGCCGTGCTTGGATCCAGGGTCACCTTCACTGCAGGGACAGAAGGAGCCAGGCCATCAGGGGCAGAGCTCAGCCCTGGGCAGGCTTTCCCCAGCTTGGGGCCAGGAGCTGTCCCACGGGGCAGGAGATGGGGCACCTCTTGGCTGCTGAACTTGCCCCAGCAAGGGCAGGAGAAGCACTGCAGAGGGCAACCCAGTGCACACCTACCTCTATTATGAGACAGCAGAAAATTTCTCCATGCTGGAAGGAGAGGGGAGAGCAGGTCACAGCCCATGGCTGGTTCCCAGTGGGTGTGGGCAAAGGTGATGGGCCAGCCGTAGGCTGCTCTGTCCCAGCTGCCCACCCTCCCCTGCACATTGCTTTGACATTGCCCTTGGGCTCAAGCTCAGGAACACTCACCCTGCCCTGCAGCTTGTTCCTCTGGAAAAAGAAGCAAAAGCAATATCTGATGAGAGGGGAGAGCTTCTCGCCCCAAGCCTGAACCCCAAACTGCTTTGTTATGGTGCAGGATACTCACTGAGCTTTGCATCTTTTTTATCTGTCAAACAAAAGGGAAAGGAAAGCATGACAGAAAAGGACATCTTGCCTTCTCAAAATGCCCACTGGTAGAACCCAAATTCCTTCATTTGGGGGAGGGATGGGCACTCACCCAGCTCTGCTTCTTGTTCCTCTGAAGAAAAGTAAAGCAAAAACACTTGGTGAGAGAGTACAGATTCTTATTACATGACAAGAACTCACTTTCTTTGGGTTTGGGGCCAGAGACTCACGCAGTCTTGCAGATTGGTACTCTAGAAATGAGAAGAAAATCATGGTGAGAGGGAACAGCCTCCCATACAATTGCTATGACCCCAAATACTTTCAGATGCTGATGGAGACTTACCGGCCTTTTGACGGTATACATCTGGAAAAGAAAGAGAAAAGCAACGCATGATCAGAGGGGAAAGCTTCTCCTCCCATAGCTCCCATTGGAAGACATGAAGTTCTTTCCGTTAGGGAGGGACACTCACCCCGCTCTGCTTTCAGTTCCGCTGCAAAAGGAAAGCAAAGGCAATGCATGACCAGAGGGGACAGCTTCTTGTCATATGCCCTCTCCCATGGCTACACCCCCTTATTTATTCTTCTAGGAAGTGGCCAAATATAACTTTGCTCCCAAAGGAGGGACCAGACTAATAGTGAATGAAGTTCATCTGTGAGCATGGTTTGTGCAAGCAGCACACAATCTTGTGCAGCTTTCAGTACGATGCCAACAAAAGAGAGGTGGAAGTGAATGGGGATGGGTGGAGGACGTCCCTGTCCCGGAAGCGTCAGTGCCGAGCGGGGCAGCTCCGCAGCTTGCTCCCCGTCCCCACCTTGATCCCCGTTCCTTTCAGTCATCCAGGCCATGTTCTTTCCCCAGGGCAGCCTCGCACTCCCCACTCCCCCATCAGGGTGAGGGGCCCGCCCAGGGCTGCTCTGTCCCAGTTGCCCACCCTCCCCTGAACATCACCTTTCTGTTGCCGAGGACACTCACCCAGCTCTGCTTCTTTTTCCTCTGAAGAAAAATGAAAAAGAGGGGGAGAGAAAAGAAATGTCTGATGAGAGGGGAAAGCTTCTCATTCCATTGCTGGACCCCATAGGATTTTGTTGTGGTGCAGGATACTCACTGAGTTCTTTATCCTTCCTCACTGTCAAACAAAAGCAAAAAGAATGCATGATAGAAAGGGACAACTTCCCATCCCACACTGCCCACCAATAGGGCCCAAATTCCTTCATTTTGGGGAGGGACACTCACACAGCTCTGCATTTAGATCCTCTGCATAAGAAAAGCAAAAACACTTGGTGAGAGAGTACAGATTCTCATTACATGATGAGAACCCGTTTTCTTTGGGTTCAGGGACAGAGACTCACGCAGTCTTGCAGATTGGCGCTCTAGAAATGAGAAGAAAATCATGGTGAGAGGGAACAGCTTCCAATTGCATTGCGACACCTCAAATCCCTTCATAGTTTGATGGAGACTTACCAGCCTTCGCACGGTATTCATCTGGAAAAGAAAGAGAAAATCCTTGGAGTGCTCTGTCCCAGCTGCCCACCCTCCCCTAAATATCACCTTGGCCTTGTCCTGGGGCCCAAGCACATGGACACTCACCCAAATCTGCTGCTTGATCCGCTGGAAAAGAAAGCAAAAGCAAAGGAGGATAAGAAGGGAGAACTTCTCATCTGATTGCTGCTTATGGGAAAACATTGGGTTTCCGAATGCAGACTTACCTAACCGTCCAGCTTTTTTAATGGAAAAGGAAAGAAAAGTCAATGTGTGACCAGAAGGCAGTGCTTCACATTCCATGGCTACTCCCATAGCTACACCCTTAATTATTATTCTGAGGTAAGTGTGCACAGAGCACCTACCTCCGTGTTCGGGAAGGACCATACTAAGAGGGAGCAAGACCCAGCTTTGAGCAATGCTTGTGCACATGGAGCATTAAGGACAGACACTTGTGCAGCTCTCTGCACCGTGCCACCAAAACACAAGGGGAAGTGAATGGGGATGGGTGGAGGACGTCCCTGTCCCAGAAGTAGAAGTGTCAGTGCAGAGCGGGGCAGCCCCGCATCTTGCTCCCCATCCCCACCTTGATCCCTGTTCCTTTCAGCCATCCTGGCTGTGTCCTGTGCCCAGGGCAGCCCCAGCACTCCCCACTCCCACCCCAGGCTCCAGCTGCTCCTCCAGCACCCCTGAGCCACCAGCACACAAGCCCCCAGAGCCCACCCAGCCCAGGCCCTCCCGCACAGACACCACTTCCCCAGGGGCAGGGGGCAGGGACTGCAAGGACTCACCCAGCTCTCGCCTCTGTGCCGCTGAAAAGCAAAGGCGGAGGAAGAGGTGGTGAGCAGAGCAGCTTGGTTGCTGGGTGGGAACATGTGCAGGGGGGCTGCGCCTTGCCACCAGCCCCACGCTGCAGCCATGCTCCCTGGCCTCCCACCCAAGACCCCTTGCCTTCTCCCCTGCCTTCGTTGCCCAAGGCAGAGGCCCAAGACGATGCTAAGGCCTTTGGCATCCCCAGGAGAACATTCCCTTCCTCCTCCTACGCACCTCCCTGGGCTCAGCCTTGCTCCAGACCCAGGGGGGTCCCTGCAGAACACCTCCCTGTGCTCCATCCCTGCGCTGCCAGCTTACCTTGCTTTCGAAAGAGATAAACACCGAGGCCAATGGACACAGCCAAAAGCACGAGGACCAGAGCCAGAGCCACCATCCAGGGCTGGGCATTGTGGAAGAAGGGAGCTGAGAAAAGGCACCAGGAAAAGGGCTGTATTTACATGCCTGGGATTAGAAAAGCAAGACCAAGATTTCTCCTGGCTCAGGACAAGTGCAGGGGCCAGGAATACCTCACGCTGGCTGTGCCATTTGTACCTGTGATGTGCAGGGATGATATCTCCTCCTGCTCGAGGCGGCTGCTCCTGATCACGCAGGACAAGGGCCACTCCAGGCTCTCGTTCATGATGACGGTGCTTTTGATTTCAAAGAGCCCCTCCTGGTCCTGGGAATGTGTCTGGGAGACCGAGGGCAGGTGCTGCCCACGAGCATCCCTCCACAGCAGCTGCGGCAGCGGGTACCAGCCGGCCGATCGACACAGCACCCGGACGCCTCCGGCCTCGTAGCCCCCGAGGTAGAGGTGGGGGTCAGCGCCTGTGGCTGGGGGAAGAGCGTGTGTCTGGTGCTTGACTTGGGGAGGGATTGGGTTCGAAGGCAAAGACCCCATCTGCTCCCATGCAGACACAGCACAGACCCAGCCATGTCCCCCATGGCTCTCAGACCAGTCCCTCCACGCACACACTCTTCCAAGCAGTCACAGACCATGGAGGAGAAGCCCCATCAGACTCAAGTCCTTGAAAGGCCACTTTGATGGCCATGAGCATGGAACAGTGATCTGGGTGAAACACACAAACCCAGGAATACCTGCACAATCTGCTTGAAGCATCAATCCAGCCACTAACCTGACACCTCCAGCTTCACTGTTGCTTCATCATAAGCATCTCCATCTTTCACAATGCAGATGTACTGGCCATCATCAGAAGGTCTCAGCCCCGTGATTCGTAATTCCAGGCTTCCAGCAGAGAGACCATCCCTGGCCAGCTCTGTCCTCCCGGCATATGCCCCCATCTGCTCCCCGTACAGGTCCTCTCCATTGCGGTAGTGGTGCACTGTCTCAGAGATACGGTCCCGGATCCACCTGACCTCCAAGGTGCGAGCATTGCGATGAGAGGACAAGTGGCAGGGCAGCACGACATCCTGCCCCACGGTGGCAGTGAGAGGAACGTCTGGTCCCACCACTCTGAGCTGGGCTGGTTCATGAAGAATGGTAGAAAGAGGAGGTAAGATTTTGCCATCATAAATTTAGGGTCAGTGAGTGACAAAGGGCGAGCTGTGTGCGTGAGTTGGTGCATGCTGTGTCCACCTTGTCCTGTTGGATACTGGTGCCACAGGAGAGGGAGAGGGAGGACGTGCAGGAGAAGGAGGGGTGCTGGGAGTGGGAGCCCTCTCTGCAGCATTCGGGCAGGTGAAGAAGAGCCAGAAAGGGCAGCCGAGGCAGTGCCCATATTGCATGGAAGAACCAAAGGGAAAGCGAAACCCAGTGGGGGACGAGCTGTGGGCTCAGGTCCCCCCTGCCCCACAGCTGCTCCCCTGCCCCACAGCAGCACGTCCGCCAGTCCCAGGGGAAAGAGCCCCCAGCAGCCCCGCAGGATCCTACCTGAGCCCAGCTGGAGAAGGAGCAGAGTGACGAGGGAAGTCAGGAGGCCCCTGGCATGGCTGGTGAGGTTGGGGTGGCCGCAGGCCCAGGGGAGCCCCATCTGTGCTGCAGCGGGAGCAAGAGCTGGAGTCAGGCTCTGAAGGAGAAGAGAGAGGGGACCAAGGGGCTGCAGGCACCACAGGCAGATGGGGAAGGAGTCCCCCTGGGCCCGGGCACAAATAGCCACAGCCAGCAGCACCTTGGGCAGGGCGCAGAGCCTGCGCTTATCACGGACTGGGGGACACAGCAGGCAGCCCCCAGGGGTTCTTCTCCAAGGGAGTCCCACCAACAGCGAGGTCCCTCACGGCACCCAGCGGAGCTGTGGAAAGTACAATGCTACGCCCAACTCTCCTAACCTTTGCCCAATTCCTGCCTGCAATAACCCTCTGGGAGCACCTTTGTCCCTAGGGCAATGGGAGCAAGTTTCCTGGGAGCTCTAGAGGCCTGGCACCACCATCCCATCACAGCTGGGTGCCCTGCCCAATGCCTTCAGCAAGCACAAGGGCTTGTCCCCAGCAGGAGCCTCTCCAGAACACCAGGGAATGCCACTGACTGAGCTCACTGTCTGGGTTATGGGGACTGCAGTCTTTCCCTGATGCTTCGACTCCGCCACTCCTCAATTCACTCTGCTCCTGCTCCTCAGGAGGTCCCTCCCGTGGGATGCCGTGCTTCCCAAACTGATCCTGCGTGGTCCTTACTCCGGCATCCCAGTTGTCTGCCCTCCCTGCACGCCTTTTTATGCAGAGGGATGGAGAGTTCTTGCGCTCTAAGGAAAACATCCTTAGAGTCTCCAGCTCTCCTCAGCTCCTTTGTCCCATAGGATGGTGTTCCAGGGGATCTCATCCTCTAGGTCTTTAAATAGCTTGAAGTTTGCTCTTTGGGAGTTCAGGTTCCTGCCTTGCCCCTTTGCCAGGCTCATATTCCTTGAGATCACAAACTCCTTCCCTGTGGTTGATCTTTCTGAGGACTTTGCTAGTTCTCAAAGAGTCTCCTCTCTCCTACCTTAGAACATTGTATCAATTCTGCAGAGGCACTTCGGGGCAGGGGGAAGACTCTTCCTCCGTCTCCGATCACAGACGAGGGTCCACCATCCTTTGTCCCGTGCTTCAAATATGCTTATTTTGGGCTGAATGCTTGTCTCCCTACCCCTTGCCTGGACTTAAGGCAGGGCTGTTGCTCGGCCCGTATCAGCATATAATAACATTTATCAATCTCCTGCTCAGTTTCCCACATGCTATGCTGCCTGGTGAGCTCCTGTCCCAGCTGAGCCACCTGTTGGAAGAGCTCACCCAGCTGAGGGCACACTTGCACCCATGACACCCACTTCTGCCTTCAGGCCCTAAGGGGACCTCCAGAGACTGGAGCTCCCTGGAAGTGAGGATTTGGGCTGCTCTTCCCATCCTCAGGAGGTCTGTTTGTGGGGAGGTATCTACCTAGGGAGGTTGCCGACCCCCCATTTGGGTTTCGGCTGCAGACCGGCAGACGTGGCGAGTGGACACCATTTCTTCAGCAGAAGGTCCTTCCCAGAACAGAGATATGACCAACCCTGCTCGCCCTGCCTGCAAGCACTGCCATGCAAACTGCCATGCCATGCCCTGACCAACATGCCATGCTCCATTCACTGCACGCCCGGACTCTCGCTGTCCCCAGGGTTCTGCCTTTGTATGACAGAGGAGGGGCCTTTGGATCCTCGCATTCCTCATCAGCTGGCCTCACAAGGGCTGCTGAGTCCTAGCAGCTCCTTTGGCCACCTTGAATAGCCTCGATGAAGGAAAACCCCTACATGCCTCGATCCCCCACTCTGCTGCAGGACGCATTGCCCCAGAGCCGAATGCCTCGGCTTCTTTTATAATGACTTAAAATATTCCCACACTTGGAATTTCCCTGTTCAGAAGTTGACTTATTTAATTACAAGGAGTATTGATAATTCTTTTACATCGAAATTCATGCTAAATAATTCATGCTTTCATGCACAAAGCCAAATTCATAAATGGAGTTAGAAAGGAGAACTGGAGCCCACAAATGGGGTTTGCAAACATGAAGCAAAGGCATACCTGAAGTCTGAGTGCCCCCACCAGCTGTCGCAGGTCTCAGCATGCAGTGAGGTGTACGGGGCAGCCTCTGGAACCACTGCCCCTCATTCTTGCCCTGCTCCTGCAGGACCAAGGAGACGTGAGCCAAGAGTGCAGAAATTTCTTCTCAGAAAGAATGGTTATGCATTGGAACGGGTTGTCCTGGGAATTGGTGGAGTCACTGCCCCTGGGGGCGTTTAAGGAAAGGTTGGACGTGGTGCTTAGGGACATGGTTTAGTGGGTAATAGTGGTGGCAGAGAGGTGGTTGGCCCAGATGTGAGAAACAAAGATGTGATTTTGCAGTAGAAGGTGTGTTTTTGCAGTGGAAAATGACTCTATCCGTGAATACTTGGAAGGGATTTTGCAGGCATGGCAGTGGTGTAGCAGTGATGACCTTAGAGGTCTTTTCCAACTGTACTGGGTCTGGCTGGGATGTTAACTTTCCCTGCAGCAGCCCATACAGTGCTGTGCTCTGCACTTGGAGCTAGAACAGCAGTGGTATCACACCAGTGTTGTGTCTGCTGCTGAGCAGTGCTGGCACAGCATCGGGACTCTCTCTAACCCTCCTAGGGGGTGGGCAAAAAAGTGAGAGAAGAAACATCACCAGAGCACGCTGACGTAAACCAACCAAAGGGATATTCCATACCATGGTCAATCATCGCTCATTTGTGGGAAGTAGAGAGTAATTTCTTTCCTCTGCTCTTCCAAATAGCCTTTATTGGATTTGTTTCTTTGTTTGTTTGTTTTTCCCTTTCCCCCTCCCTTTTCCCCTTTCCTTTTTTCCTTTTTTTTTTTTTCCTTTTTTTCTTTCTTTTTTTTTCCCCCTTTAGTTAAATTGCTTACTTAACAATAACATTTCCTGAATATTTTTTTTTTTTCCTTTAGTTAAGTTATCCTTATCTCAACCCGTGAGTTGTTCTTTACTTTACTTCTTCCCCTCCTCATGTAGGGAGGGGGAGTGAGACAGCAGTTGTGGTGTTCAGCTGCCGAGCACAGTAAAACCACCACACCAACTTCAATGATTCTTTGATCTAGGGCTGAAGTCTGAGGCCACCTGCTGCCTCTGCTTGGAGGACTTCCAGGAGCTGGTGATGCCTCCTGTGGGCACAGCCTCTGCAGAGGCTGTGTGATGGAGGCTGGAAACTCTTTGGGTGCCCCCAGGGCAGGGAGGGCAATGAACCCAGGTGGGACAAGGGGGTCCCAGGCACCAGCTGGGGAAGTGGGGCAGCTGGAGCTTTGGTTCCTCCTGGCTCTGACTCCCAGGACCAACACCAAGGAGACGGTCTGCTGCAAGACGCCTTCGCAGGCAGCAAAGCCTCGGGACAGAAAGCACGCAGCAAATGCCACTGCCAGACTCCATCTTCGTGTGCAAAACTTTATTTCACAGAATCATAGAATTGTAGAATATCCCGAGTTGGAAG